ATTCAAAGTCACAGTAATTGTTTTGGATTTAAAGGGAGACATTGGAGTTGTCTCCCACAAAGTCCAAACCTTTTAAAACTCTGCCCACAAGCCATTTTTAAAGCCTCTCAAAAAACATGGTCAGGTATAGTCACAGCAATGACCCTACTCCTCAGTAACAAATTTTGTCTTAGTTACTTTTTACTTGTTGCTGAGACAAAATACCTGATGCCCAAATTTGGGAAAGGAAAGATTTATTTCTTATAGATTTTGAAGGTTTTAGTCCATACTCAGTTGGCTCCAAGGCAGGGTGGCATGGCAGTGTCACAATTCATGGCAGCTGCAAACTGGCAAGGTGGAAGCCAGCAAGAGAGAGAAAGAGACACATGTTTTTTCTGCTATTACATTGTATGCTGGCTTCACTTCTATGTGGGTATAGCAGTGACACCATCAACCCAAGCTCTAGACAATGAACCGGTTACAAATGTATAATGCAAATACATGAAGCCTGGGGGCCACCGACATAAACCATGATACTCACTGACTCCTTCTTCAAACTAAATAGCTATATTATAAATTTTATAGGCAATTTTAGAAAAAAGATGATTAAAAATAGCTTTTATTGATGCTATAACAAAGAAAAGGAATGCTATTGTAGCTTTCCACAATAGCCTACACTATGCTTCTCAGATGCAGCATGTGCTTTTATCTTGCTCTCACTCTTTTTTTTTTCTATATTACTCAGCCCAAACTCAGAGCCAGTTTCTCTCCCACTCTTCACTTTTGCTTTCTAGGATAAACTGCCACTACTAAAGAAAAGAAAAGAATTTTCAATTTGGTTTTGAGCACTTACCTACATTTTATTAAAAGCATACTGCAAGGGAAAGGATTTGCTTTTGCCTAGCATCAGAATGCTGTGGGTTCAATCCCTATTATGAAAATATATTGAAGAAATGCTTAAAGGAAGTCACATTCTTTTTTTCACTTTCTCTTTTCTTTCTTCCTTCCTTCCTTCCTTTTTTTTTTTTTTTCATTATTGAGAGAGTGTCCCACTATAATTCAGGCTGGCTATGAATTTACTATGTAGTTTAGACTGGCCTCAAACTTGTGGCAATGTTCCTGCCTCAGTCTCCTAAAGTTCACTCTGTCTTTTTGAGACAAGTCTTTACTCTGCAGCTCAGTGTGAATATGAACTCACTTTGTAGCCCTAGCTGTCCTTGAACTTGTAATCCTCCTGCCTCAGCCTCCTGAGTGCTGATAGTACAGGCGTGAGCCACCATGCCTACCCTTTAAAGTTCACTCCATAGAAACATTTTGTAGGAAAATGGAATTCTTACACACTATCATCATTACATTAAATTTGAAAATGAAAATATTAATGGTCAATAGGTTAACTGGGTTGTGGCGGTGCATGCCTGAAATCCCCACATTGAGGAAGATTAGCATATAGTCAAGGCCAGCCTAGGCTAAATACTGAGTTCAGGGCCAAATGACATCCTGTCTCACAGATTAAAAAAAAAAAAGTAGCTTCACTCACAGTCATCTGGAGGTAAAAGAAAGATGAGACAGGAGATTAGGGCATGGCAAAGCTGACTGGGGAAGAACATGTGACCTCTTAATTACAAAGTCCCAGTACAATGCATAGAACAATTCCCAAAGCCTTGTATGTGGATTTCTTGAAAGAATTTGAGCAAGTTTTCCATAGGATGGCCTGACCTGATGTCAACCTGAGGAGCGGATAATATAAAAAGCACAGTCTACATTGAGTTTTTGCCACTGTGTTCTCTCTTGCATGGTGGCCTGCCCTGCTGCTACAGAATATGCATCTGTAGGGACAGGGCGCCCTGTAGCTAGGGGAATGATAAGATAAAGGCCTTATTGAGAAAGCAGTTTTGGCCTCTCCTGCTAGATTGAGCAATTAGCAAGACAAAGGCAAAGAAGCCAGGCCTGAAAAGTTCCCAGATAGTGTGATTAACATAGAAATCACAAACATTCTCTTTACTTAATCATTAACCCTAAATACCTTCCCATAAGACCATCACCCATAATTTTACCCTCCCACAAAGTACAGAAGAGGTGAGGGCCAGAAGAAATTGGAAACAACCCAAATACCCATTAACCAATGAATGGATAAAGAAGATGTGGGCAGGCTGGGGATTTAGCTCAGTGGCATAAGCACCTGTCTTGCAAGCAGGCAGTCATGAGTTTGATCCCTGCTACCGGATGTGGGCTTTTTTACAGAATAGAGCACTACTCTACCATAAAGGATTAGCTTGAGACATTTCTAACTAAATGGATACACTCTGAGGCCCTATTCTAAAGTGAAATAAATCAGATACACCTGTATAAATACTGTACTGTTACTCTGGAGTGAGAAACTGAAAGTGCAAATGAGGACCCAAATGCATAATAGATATTGAGAAATGGGAAGAAAATGTTCAAATGGGAAGGGAACAAAGAGAAGGGGAGAGTGAAAGGAAGGAAGGGACTAAAAAAAAAAAAAAAAGACAAGAAAACAGAAGGAAAAATAGAAACAAAGCTTTTGTAAATAAAGAGGGGAAGAGAGGATTGAAGAAGGGGAGTGAAGAAAACAGGGTTAAAAGAAGCAAGATTTGCCAAGTACAAATTCCCTATGATGAATGTTATCATGTACCAATAAATATAAATTTTATAAAAAGAAATCCAAGGTTAGGATGAAAGCAAGCAAGGGAGCCAGACAGATTCAGGAGCCTACACAGGACACGGATCTCAATAAAGAGTTGCAGACAAGATATGAACAAGTATTTCCCTTTTGAACATCCTGTACTCATCCAGTGTAGCTGTCTTCCATCTCTCTCTTTTCCCTTTCCTCCACCTTCTGTTGTAGCCTAGTTCTAACCAATGCACCTCCTTCCTGTTCTGTATGTGCCATTTCAATAGAGATTAAAATTCCATTTCCAGTAAAGACTTAAGTCTCAGCTCCTTGTAAATCCCCCCTCCCCTCCCCATTCTTTTTAGGTTAAGTCTCCATTTCCCGTAAAAGCCTTAAGTTTCAGTTTCTTGTAATCCCCCAACCCTCTTCAGCCTATCTGTAATAAAATGTGCTGTTCCTTAAGAAACCTTTAACTACAAGGAAGTTACAAGAGATACCAAGAAGCCCAGATGTTATCAAACTGTGTCAAAGTTCGCAACATTTCTGTGGTTTCCGGTTTTAAAAATCCAACCCTTTAGCTGTAAGGTGGGCAGTCTTCCATATTGGCTCCCGGAGGCTGCGTCACCAGGCCTGGCCTAAAATAAAGTCTTTGTGCCCTAAATTTTAATTTCTTGCTTCCTTGGATTTTATTCTGGGGTCCGAGCTATCACATTTGGGTCCAAGCTATCACATTTGGGGGCTTGTCCATCCCAGCTATCACACTTCCAATAAATCATCTTTTTCTTTAATAATAAAGCCACTGCTAGGATAATCCATTAATCCATTAACCCAAGGATCCATTGCTAGATTAACCCATTCGACAGGGTGGAACTCTCATGATCCAGTTACCACTTAAAATCCATCTTTTTAAGTAAGATTAACATGATTGAAGATTAAACAACACACAACCTTAACCAACAAGGTTTAACCTGTAATGTGCCCTCCCCATGTCATTGACCTCATTTTTCCCAGTTCTCTAGTCCTTTAGCTAGAGCTCCTCCTATTCTGCCTTCATTTTCTGTTGCAGACAAAATGTAGCTATGCCAGCCCTGTATTGTGGTACATGCTTATAATCTTAGCACTTGGGAGGCTGAGGCAGGAGGATCACTGTGAGTTAGAGGCCAGCCTGGGCTACAAAGTGAGTTTAGGACCTATCTGAACTGCATAGTGAAACCTGTCTCAAAAAGAAAGAAAAAAAAAATATATGTATGTATGTATATGCCTCTAAGCCTTCCCTCTGGCTGAAAAATTCTGTCAACATGCACTTTTGGTTCAGGCATGGTGGTACATGTCTGTAATTCTAGCATTTGGGAGGCTAAGGCAAGAGGATCAGCATGTGTTCAAGAACAGCCTGAGGTATATAGTGAATTTAAGGTCAGGGTGAACTACAAAAGCCAGACCCTGTCTCGGAAAAAAAAAAAAAAAGAGAGAGAAAGAAAAAGAAAATCAAACCCAACTCTCGAGTCCAGTTAATTGGACACTTCAGTACATCTCCCAAATTTAATACTCAACTTTCTATTTTTTCCAAAAACATAGTAAATTGATATAAATAATCTATCATTCAACCTATTTCTTCTTTTCCTTGAATGAATTCATGATCCAAGCATTTAATCATCTAATCACTAGAATTTGAAAAGCAGGGGTGATCTAAAAGAGCATTTTTCCAGTGGGACCTTCTTCAAAGCAGAGGCACTTCCAAAGCTATGAGGATATTTCACTGCAATCCATTATATTCAAACATTATAACTAATTTGTTCTGCATGGAACCTAGTACCAAAAGGTAAAATTTACATAGCAACATAGAAATTTCATTTACCAGAAAAAGTTTGCCTCCAGTTGCAAAAAAAATTTTTCAGATCATCTAATGTTATGATAACTAAATTAGTTGGGTGGATGAGTAATTGGTTCGAATAAGCTAAATAAGGTCCAATTTGGGGATTTTTTTTTTTTTTTATCGGTACCAGGGATCGAACTCATGACCACACACTTGCAAAGCAGGTGCTTATGCCACTGAGCTAAATCCCCAGCCCCTAATTTTGGGATTTTTAAATTTGAGAAAAAAAAATTAAGATGAAGGAGAAACTCGAGCTTTTTTCTAAAATTGGTTATCAATTTTATCACATCCCACAAGCATGGTTTCCAGTACCTTGTATCTCAGTGGAAGGCTGGCTTTCTACCTGAGCCAGGTTCTGACACTGACATTTCTGGAATCTTTCCACTGGGAATCTGCTTTGGCAAAGAAGGATTGAAGTTTGGTCCTGGAGGCTAGATAAACCTGTGTGCTGCCTGAGGAGCAGCCCAGTGAAGGACTTTCAGAGATTGATCTTTCTTCTAATTATTGGACCCTGGGATTGTTACAGGCAGCTGAGTTAGTTAAAAATATTATAGGCTGTCAGATAAGGCTGGGCCCTTTAAAGAGCCAGTGCAGAAACCAGATCTTTGCCATCTTGGAGGAGACAGATACCTCTGCTGTGGGCCAGACCTCAAGGCAAAGGGCAAAAAATGTCAGTGTAGTTGGAACAAAAAGGGCTAGTTAAGAGGAGGCCTTCAGGGTTTAGGAGATTTTGGTCTGTAGATTAGGTCTGTAAGATTGCTATCTGTAGTTTCTACTATTTTCTAAACCTCTCATTTAATTTCACCCTGCTGTACCAAATACCCTTGGCAATTTGAAATGCTCTCAAGGAGGCTTTCTCACCCAGCCAGATGGGATTAAAGACCCTCTGTGACACATTTATACTATCTTGGGCTTCCTTTGTCATGTTCACCAAGAGACACATACATGGTCTCAGCCTCCCACAGCACTGCCTAGTACAGTTTTTTTGTTTTTGCTTATATTTTTCTTTTGCTATACTGAGGATTGAATTAAGGGCATTTGCACTGAACTACATCCCCAGCCCTGCCCTCCCTTTTACATTTTTGAGATTAGGAACTCTAAATTACTAAACTGCCCAACCTGGAGTCATATTAGCAATCCACTTGCCTCAGCTTCCCAAGGTGCTGGGATTAGTACTTTCAAATTTCTATCAGGTGCTGGCAATTTAGATATTTTAATTTATAAACTGAAATTTAATTTTTAATTTGGCGATTCAGTGGCACTCGAATATGTGGAAATACAAATATTTCTTGCCTTTTAGAGGCTCTTGAAGTTTTCCCTTCCCCCAAGGTTTATACTGCAAGGAAAATAGGAAGGAGGCAAAGGCTGAGATTAGATCAAGAAGCTTCCAAGGGAGGAGTTGGTAAAGGGGGAAGGGTGGTTGGAAGGAAGGGAACACCAGGATGTAAATTTCCACCCTGGTTAATGGATTAAGAAAGGTGTGAGCTGCTACTTTGAGAAACCTGATGGAGACTCACAAGGAGTATCTTAACTGAGCAACAGGAAATCCACTAGAGCTACAGACCACCAGAGAATGTAAGAGTGGAGCCTGCCCCCTGGAGCTTCCTACATACTGGAAGGTAATGGATTTCCGTTTACCCCTAACCCACTGGAGAGAAGATGGTTGCACTCTGAATAGCCGAAAATGGAGGAAGGACTCCACCAATACAGGAGCCAAACCTGTTTGCAGCTAAGCCTCTTTGCAGCACCTGATCTGGCTCTGAAGCCAAGCCTCATTTTTACCTTTGCATAGAAATTTGCAGGAGAGGTTTTGGCATCACCCTGAATTGCAGCTAAAAATCCTATCAGAATGAATTGTTTAGGCACATGACATAAACAAATTTAGATGGTATAGATTAGATAACAATGGGCTTTAAAACTGTAGCCTTTTCTGACCAGCCCTCAGAAAGAATTTGCAGGGCAAGCAGCAAGATATAAGAACATAGGAAACCAGAACTGTTGAGCTCTGGATGATCGACCTGGGAGGCAGAAGTACAGACGCTACAGCTGTAAAATGGCCCAGAGTGGGAAACACTGAGCAGCACTGAAACATCTGGAGATTCAGTTTAAAGAACCGGTGAGCCAAGAATTTTGATATTGTTCATTTTTCTTCTTCACAACTAGAGTTGGCAAACTGAGGCCTCGCAGGCCCCTTGGTCTCTGTTGCTATCACTGCGCTGAGTCATGCTGGAAGGAAAACAGCCTTAGATGACATAATCCTGACAAAACTTTATTGTGAATGCTGAAATTTTGAATTTTATATAATTTCCATGTGTCACAAGACACTCCTTTAATATTTTTACCTCCCCCAATTTAAAAATGTAGAAGTAAAAAAAACAAAAACAACAATAACAGAAAACTCACTGCTTGGGTTTTGGTGGCAAACACCCATAATCTTAGCTATTCAGGAAGCAAAAGCAGGATGATTGAAAATTCAAATCTAACCTGGGTAATTTATCTCAAAAATTTTAAGAAGGACTGGGGATATTAGCTGGTTGGTAAAGCATCCCTCAGTTCAATTCCCAAAGCTGAGGAAAAAGAAAAGGAACAAAACCTTTAAAAGGTCAAAAATAAACTGGGTCTGGTGGTGCATGCTTTTAATCCCAGCACTCTGGGAGGCTGAGGTAGGAGGATCATAAATTTGAGACAAATTTGGTCAGTTAAGCAATTTAACAAGAATGTGTCTCAATTTTAAAAAAATATAATTTATTTTTTATTTATTTAAAGAAAAAAAGAAAAAAAAAAAAAAAAAACCAAGACAAGACAGAAAAGAGAGTGGAAGTAATACAGAATTCCAAAGAAAAGTATTAAGAAATTACTAGTCGATAAAGTTACATGTTTGCCTTTTAGAAATAGTTGTTCAAGTTACAAAATCACAGCATAAAAAGTGGACACTGAAACATTGACAGTGCAGAACATTCTGTTCAATGACCTAGTGGAAACTTAGTAATACGGTCATCTATCCTACACACTTGAATGTCATATAGTTATATCCTTTAGAGCACTTTCCTTCCCTTTCATTTTTACAATATCTGTTATATATTTTGGATCTTATTACTGTTTAAATTTTTATAATTTTTTATACTAGAGAGACAATGTGATATTTATAAATGTGAGACTTTATTTCACTTATGAGAATAGTATCAAGTTGCCTCCATTTACCTATAAAAGCCTTAAAATCATACATTTTTATAACTGAGTAATATTGCATTGTATAAAAATACCACATCTTTTTTTGGGGGGGGTACCAAGGATCAAACCCATGACCGCAAGCTTGCAAGGCAGGCACTTGCCACTGAGCTAAATCCCCAGGTCCCCCACATCTTTTTCATCTACTCTGCAGTTGATGGGCATCTTGGTTATTGCCAAGATTTAGCTACAACAAATTGTATGCTATAAACATGGGTGCACATATCACTATAGTATGATCTTTTCAAATTTGGGGGGAAAATTACCCAGGAGGGGAATAGTTGGATTGGACGGAACTTCTAATCCTAGTTTGTTGAGGAATCTCCATACTGAATTCCACAGTTGTTACACCAGTCTACACTTCCACCAGCAGTGGAGAAACATTCTTTTTGCCCACAGCCTCACCAACATTTGTTATCAGTTATTTGCTTGATGGCAGCCAATTCTTTCTGGAGATGAAATCTCAATGCTGTTTTAATTTGCATTTCTCAAATGATCAGTGATGGTGAACATTTCTTCATATATTTATTTGCCATTTGTATATCTTCATCTGTGAAATGTGTGTTCATCTCAGATGCCCATTTTTGAAAAGGGTCTTTCAATTTGGGGGGCTTGATGTTTTTCAATTCTTTATATGTTCTGGATATAAGTCCTTTGTCTGAGGGATTGCTGCCTAAAATTCTTTCCCATTCTGTGTGTCTTCTTTTCACTTGGTTGGTGATTTCTTTTGAAGTGAAAAACTTTTTAATCAGGTGTAATTCCAGTTGTTGATTCTTTGAAGTATTTCCCTTGCAGTTTGCATTTTGTTCATGAATTTTTTGCCTATGCCTATGTCTCCAAGTTTTCTAACTATCTTGCCTTCCAATAGAGTTAGTGTTTCTGTTTTAAAATTTAGATCTTTGATTCATTTTGACTTTAGGTTAGTGCTTGGTGATAGGCATGGGTCTAGTTTCAGTCTTCGTCATAAATCCATCAGGCCATGGGCTTTTCTTTGCTGGTAAGTTTTTAATCATGTTTTCAATTTCAGTAGTGATATTGGGTTATTGAAAATTGTTATATCTTCTTGACTGAGCTTTGGTAGTTCATATATTTCTAGAAATCCATCCATCTCCTCTGTGTTTTCCACCCAAAATACAATTCAAAAAGTGCCAAGGATGTAGCTCAGTGTGAAAGTCCTGTGTTCAATTCTCAGTATCACAAGAAAAGTAAAAATAATATTTTTAGTTTGCTGGCTGTATAAAAATAGGGGAGGGTGGGGCATGGTGTCACACACCTGTAATCCCAGTATTTGGGAAGCTGAGGCAGGAGGATCTCAGCAAATTGAGATCCGGTTGAACTACATGAGACCCTTTCTCAAAAAAGCTGGGTGGGGTCTTGTTAATCCCTATTTTAAATCACTGATTCCAAAATGTAGCTGGCATCCCATTAAAGAGCTGTAAAAATAAGTTTGGTAAGCAAGAAACAAGAGATTTTACTGACTCTAAGATGCCATCAAGTGTATGTTATTTTTGATGGCCATTTAATATACAATATGCATGATAAAAATTATTAAAATGTTTATATTGGTTTATGCCCTGTTGATACATAGATGAGGTGCAATCTAATTTCAAAATTTTTCTCTCCATATTATTTTTGTTTTTAAGTCTTATTAAAAAGATTTTTAATTGACAAATAATACAGATTGAAGACCCTTATTCAGAATTCTTAGAACCAGAAATATTTTGGAGTTTGGGGTGACGTGTGTGTGTGTAATATGTACATATAATAAATAAGATGTCTTAGATACAATGCACATCTAAACTGAAATTCATTGATGTTTAATATAGACCTTATGTAAACATCTTAAAGGCAATTTTACATATAGGCAGTTTTATACCTGCATTCTGTTAGGTCATACCTAACAGAAGTCAGTTTTGAAATTTTCCACTTGTGGCATCACATCAGTGCATAAGTTTCTGATTTTAGAGCATTTTAGATTTTTGATTTTGGGATTAAAGACACTCAAATGGATTTGTGGGATAAGGAGCAGTGTTTTTTTTTTTTTTTTTTTTTTTTTTTTTTTTTGTATCAGGGATTGAACTCAGAACCTTGTGCTTACCAGGCAGGCACTTAAGCCACTGAGCTAAATCCCCAGCCCCCAGAGCAGTATTTTGAAATCAGTATACACTATGGAAGGATCAAATCAGTAATTAGCATAGGTTATTTATCATCTCACTTAAGCACTGGGATGACCATGGGGGAATCTGACAATAGTTCTTTTGTTTTTATTTCAGTGCTGGGGATTAAACATGGGGCTTTAGGGAAATGCTCTAACACTGAGCCACATCTGTGGCCTAACAAAAAGTTAAACCTGGAAATTCTGCAGTGATGCATGGAGAGAACATGGTGCTTTCCACGGGGAGGTGACTGTGGAGTTAGAAGGGAGGAATCAGACCCCGGATACTTTCAGGAAACAGGGAAACAGGGTGCGGTAATTGATTGACTATAGGTTGTGAAGGAAATCCTGGTAAAGCATGACTTCAAAATCTGTGGATTAAGCAACTGGTTTTATCACTGGCCCTCCCTAGCTATGGGTTCTGCATCCTTGGATTCAACCAACTACCAAACACAAATATGTGTTTGAAAAAAATTCATATATACTGAACATATACAGATTTTTTGTTATTATTCCCTAAATGACTCTGTTTACAAATAGCATTTGTTGTGGTTTGTTTAAATGTCCCCCCAAACCTTCATTCAGTCATGGCCACTGAATCTAGTGTTTGTCAACCAATCGTTCTTTGTTGAGCGCTAACATTGGCTGTGTGGGTGCTGTCTCCACCCAGGGGTGGGTAACTGGCATACAGTATAAAGGAAGAAAGGAGCCATGCCTTATCCCTTTTGCCCTTTCACTTTTGCCACCTGCAGCCACTATGAATGGCTGCCCTTCAGCCATGCCACCCTACCCTTGGAGCCAGCTGAGAATGGACTAAAACCTCTCCAAACTGTAAAATAAACATTCCCTTCCCAATTTTGTGTGTCAGTATTTTGTCTCAACAATGAGGGAAAAGTAACCAAGTCAGAATTTGGTACCAGGAATGGGGTCATTGCTGTGACTGTACCTGACCATATGATTCAAGAGCCTTTGGTAAGGCTTGTGGGAAGAGTTTGGAAAGGTTCAGAGATGTCATCTGAATGAGTAACCTTGGAGCAGCTTAGGCTGTTCTGTATGGGAGATTATAGTCAGTGCTCAAAAGACCAGAAGGCTGATAGAAACCCTCTCAATAAAGACCAGGCTTAGGAGGTTTCCACTGGGAAGAAGGACTACCTTGGTTGTTGGGCTCCACACAATGTGTGCTATGACTTGGCAGAAAGTTTTTCTGCATTTTGCTTGTGTCCACAGATTTTGTCTGAGACTGAGATTAGGGTAGTGGACTGATTAATCTGGCAGAAGAAATTTCAAAGCAGGTGAATGTTGAGGCAGTGGTATGGCTATTGTTGCAGGCTTTTAGCCAGGTTTATGTTGTGAATCAAGAATAAAGAGACCAGAAGAATGATTTAAAATGTTGTGAGTTTGCCAGAAAGTTGTGAACTGTAAAGATAGAGTTGAGATTTCAATTGCTGAGAAAGAACAGAAAAATAAAAAAGATGGCCTGGGGGCATCACAGGAAATGATGGTAGAATCCACCCTTTGCAGCCTCAAAGGCTTTGCTTGGAGGAGAAAGCCGCAGAGCACCATCTTCAAAATGGCAATGGAGGCCACACCAGGTTCCAGACTGGCAGCAACATAAAAAGTGTGTTCCTCACAATCAAGTTTAGAATCCTCAGCTATTCAGGCACTCAACCCCTACAGCCAAGAGAGAGAAAACCCTGGAAACCTCCAGCTGGCAGCAGACGCTGGCGGCATCTATGAGGCATTAGTTTTAGATGCATAGAAAATGCATGAGTTCTGAGATTAAAAAGGCTTCTATCCTGATTTCAAAAGGCCTGAGAGGTCAGGCAATGTGACCCTTGAAGGGCAATATGTGAAGCTGTGACTGTAAAGCCAAAGGTACAATGGAGATCCCAGAAGTTTGGAAAAGCCAGGAGCATGGCTTGTCTAAGGAAACATTCAAGAAGAGAGCAAAGCCAGTCCAAGACAGAAGCCAGGGGAACTAAGACCACCTGAAGTGCCATGGAGGTGAAGTCACTTAAGCCTTTTGGAGCTCACAACCAGATTACTTCAAATGCTGATGCTAATTTTTTTTTTTTTTTTTTTTTTTTGTACTGGGGATCAAACTCATGACCTTGTATTTGCCAAGCAGGCGCTTATGCTAATTGTGCTTCACATTCTGAGTGTGGAACTGCAGGACTATTTGCCCTGCTAGATTTTGGACTTCCTTTGGTCCCATTCCTTTGTATCCTCCTATTTATACTCTTTGAAATGATAATGTTTATCTTATGCCATTGCATATTGAAAGTGTTTAACGTTGTTTTCATTTGTACAGGGGTTTGCAGCTAAGGGTTTGCCTTAGATATCGAAGGAGACTTGGGACTTCAAGTTTTCAGCAATGCTGAAACTATTAGAACTTTAGCAACACTTGGAGATGAACTAAATGTCTTTTGCATAATGCATGCACACGAGTCTTTGGGGGGCCAAAGGTGTTGTGGCTTCTTTAAATGTCCCCACCCCAAGGAAACTAAATCTAGTGTTTGTGATTGGTTGTTTGTCTAGCACTGGGATTGGCAATGTAGGTGCTGCACCCATACAGGGGCAGGTAATTGGCACACAATATAAAGGGAGGAAGGAGCCATATCTTCCTACTTTTGCTCTTTCACTCTTGCCGCTTGCAGCCACCATGAGTGGCTGCCCCTCACCATGCTACCCTGCCTTGCAGCCAGCTGAGTATGGGCTGAAACTTGTAAAACTGTAAGATAAATACATCTTCCCTTCCTTAATTTTGGGCATCAAGTATTTTGTCTCAACAATGAGGGAAAAATAATCAAGACAGCATTTATATTTTATTGGGTGTTTTAAGTAATCTAGAGATGATTAAAAGTACACAGGAGAATGTGCTAGGTTCTGTGCAAACAGTATGCCACTTTATGTTAGGGAATTTGAGGATTTTGCAAAGTATACAGGGTAGGGGTTGGGGTGGTAGTCTTTGAACTAATTCCCTGGGGGTACCCTGGGATGACTCAGGGTGAAAACTAACATTAACATTACAAGAATTGCTGGTGTTTGAGAGCTAAGTTTTGTTACAGTTAATTAGAAACCTTAAATTTCCAAGAGTGTTTCTGGTACCAGAAAGCCAGTGAAGTGCCAGTGGCATAAAAGATAAGATATGCAGTCCAAGATGTTCAACTTATGCCTCTTTGAATCATATGCCAAAGCTTCAGTAGCATCACTGTTATAGAAGTCTTGGGGGAGAATGGCGAGACAAATTTTGAATTATGATGCTTCTTAAATAGTTCTGCTGAGAGTAGTATAATCAATGATAGAACACTTACCTAACATTTACCAAGTTCTAGGTTGAATATGTAGCCCTAGAAAAATAAAGTTTTAGTTTCTTTTCTTTTCTTTTGTCTTTTTGAGACAGGGTCTCACTATGCAGTTCATGCTGGCCTTGAGCTCACTTTGTAGGCTGGTCTCGAACTTGCAATGATCCTCCTGCCTCACCTCCCAAGTGCTGGGTTACAGGCCTGCACCACCATGCCTGGCTAATGGTTTATTTTCTTAATGTGCAAAAGAAGGTAAGGAAATACCTTTTGAAATAAATAATTTTTTGCATGGTTATCACTTAGGTGCCAGTTTATGAAGAGACAGCTGTGGAAGTTGGAGGGACAACTGCTTCAGTCACAAGTGATTTTAAAATGGAAGATCACTTCTTGAGTCAAGACCAAGAACTAGACCCACTAAAGAATCATGAGAGGGACTCCAATCAGAGGAAAAAGCACGATGAAGATGATGACCTGATCTTCGTTGGAAAGGAATATGTAAATGAAGATTCTGAAATTCTCTTTGTCAAGGTGATTGCAAATTCAAAACCAGTTATTTCAAACATTTTGAACAGAGTAACCCCAGGATCATATTCGAAAAGAAAAAAAAGAAAAATAGATCACCTCAGTCAAGACACGGCTCATGTGTCTCAATCTGGAATTAATGTGACCCCAGGAGTTAAAACAATGGCTGCTATGCCAGATTTTCAGTCTGAATCAAGATCAACAGATAGTCCCATTAGCATTGAACCTTTATCAATCAATCTTCCTTATAAAGTGAGCTCATCACAAGACATTCCTTCTCAAGATTCAAAGCAACTTTTCATTGCTGATAAGATCAGCAGAAATTGCCAAGTATCTATACTCGGGAATGAAGTCCCCAGAGCACATTCTTCAGCCATGACCTCTTCTGGTATCTCCCCTAAAATGGACATATGCACACCATCAAAAAGCTTTTCCCTGTCATGTTGTACTCAGAATAGAACATCCTTTCCTCCGACTCATGCTAATGATAAGGGACCTTCCGCTTTCAGATATCCAGACCCAGAAAAAAGCTCTGAGAGTCTGGTAAACACAGATTTGTCAAGTTTAACAGATCAAAACAAGACCTTTGATCCTAAGAAGGGAAATCTGGTCCTATTACTTAGTGACTTTTACTATGGAGAGCATAAAGGAGATAGGAAGCCAGAACCAAAGACTCACTCAACCTTCAAATGCTTCAGCTGCTTGAAAGTTCTAAAAAATGTTAAGTTTATGAACCACATGAAACACCATTTGGAATTTGAGAAGCAGAGGGGTGACAGCTGGGAAAATCACACGACTTGCCAGCACTGCCACCGGCAGTTTTCTACTCCATTCCAGCTGCAGTGTCACATTGATGGGGTGCACACAGCCCAGGAGCCCTCTGCCGTCTGTAAAATCTGTGAGTTGTCATTTGAAACAGATCAAGTTCTCTTACAGCACATGAAGGACAATCATAAGCCTGGAGAAATGCCCTATGCATGCCAGATTTGTCGTTATAGGTCATCGGCTTTTGCAGATGTAGAAACACATTTTAGAACGTGCCATGCAAACACTAAGAATTTGCTTTGTCTGTTTTGTCTTAAAATTTTCAAAACTGCAAGTTCTTACATGAATCATTGTTGGAGACACTGGAGCAAGAAAAGAGTCTTTCCATGTTCCAAGTGCCGGCTACAGTTTTTGTGTTTGAGGGAGGAAACAGAGCACAAAACCAAGAATCATCAAACATTCAAAAAGCCAGCACCTCTGGAAGGGCTGCCTCCTGAAACAGAGGTTATTATTCAAACTTCAGTTCACCCATCGAGAGGTGCAGAATCCATTGTTGTAAGCAGCACTGACTTTTGCCTGTCACCTGTGAAAACTAGAAAAAGGAAGAAATCTAGGTATTCTGGACTCCGTTGCAGTTCTGGCTAAATATATGTTTTACTCACTTCCGTGGACTCTGAAAGGCAGATATGAGGCTAGGTCATCGGTGCATCATGACTGATACTAGCACAGATGCGCATAGTGTTGGATTTTACAGTGAAATCCCTAGCTCTCTACAGAGGCAGTTCAAAAATCTTCATCATGCTCTTTCTTCACTCAAACCCCTGTAGAAAAAGATCATTATTCTGAACTCTATCATCTTAGATGAATTTTTACTGAATTTTAAATAAATGTGTTAAATAACTTTAAATAGAATAAAACAATAAATTCTTATCTTTGACTTTATTTAATATAAATAAGGGCCATCACACTCTCCTACCCAAAACACTGAAGATTGAACCCAGGGCTTTCCTACTGAGCTACGTTCTCAGCCCCTTAGTTTTTGAGGCAGGGACTCACTAAATTGCCCAGACTGGGCTCAAGCTGTTGATCCTCTTGCCTCAAGCTCCCAGAGTGCTAGGATTACAGATGTGATGTGATGTGATGTGAGCCACCGTACCCAGTTGTGAGGCACATTCTTGCTGTATTCAGCAGTAGCAGTTTTCACTGCTGGGTAGAATTCCACTGAATGAATATGACACAGTTTTATATATCTGCCTTACTATGATGGGCTTTGGGGCTGATTTCATGGCTATTTAGAATAAAGCTACCATTGATAGGGGAATATAACATCCAACCTGTTAAATTGCAAATGTGCTGAGTTTGCGGTCTCATAACATTGAGGAATGAAGTTGCAGACTAAAAAAGGAAGTTAAGTGTTGGGGTCTGTACCTACACCCCAAACCCCTAGTGGGTGCCGGACGAAGGCTCAAAGGAGTGAGACATGCAGCATGGTCTTCAGGGCTGCAGGAATGCAGTCTTCAACAGGGATCATAACTCTGTTAGCCCGCTCCGCTGACTGACTGATTTTGGGCAACCCGTATTTAATCAGAACAAGCAAGGAGTTGAGTGGACAATGGGGGAAACCTGAACAGGATCTTGGGAAGGGTTCAAGGATCCCTCAGAGCAACAGACAGATGCTAATTAAAGAAACATCCAGAAAGTCTCTAGGTGGCCCCAGCTATGGTTTATCCTGACCCCTGAGGTGTCTCCTCATTCTTGATTCAGCCATGCCTGGGCCACACCACATCTCTGCTCGTGTATTCAGCTTCAACGCTCTCAAACAGTTAAGAGTGTTTTATTGGAAATAAGAACAACTCCTGGATTCCCAGGAGGGGTCCCAAGTGGGTGGTTACTGAGGCTTTTTGTTAACAGTAATTTATGCAACACAATCACAAGGTATGTACAACACAGATCAAACTACAACCTAAAGGATTATGAGTATAATTACTTAGCTAATATTGATCCAGTAGGAAAACGAGTCATGTGGGTACGGTGCATGGAAAAAACAAAGGCACTTTTGGACAGCAATGAGTCCAGGTGTTCTGGTCACCCACTTATGTGTCTGATGCCTAGCTGGGCCCACTGGGCCCAGTGGGGTTAATTACAGTATAATCTCAAATTGCAGTAGGGAGGCCTGCATCTTTGTCTCCAGGCCCCGATCTCTTTAGATTCCCCTCCAGTCACAATCTTTATCTCACCTTCTGTGCTGACTCCCTCAAGGACTCAATCCCTCTGACTTAAATTTCTCTCTAACTGAGCTATCTGTAACACTATGAGCTTACAAGTGTATTGTGATAGACATACTTAGTCATTTGGATGGCAGTTACAAGAAGTACTGGGATTATATATATTCAGCTTTTTAGTGTAGATTCTGCCAAAAACTTCCCCAAGAGTGACTGAAACAATTAATATTCCCACACTAATATTGGGAATTTCATTGCTACAGATTCATAACATGGTACTGTCAGTCCTTTCATTTAGTGCCCTTTGAATAGAGTTGTAGTGGTATCACACTGTGGCTTTAATTTGCATTTTTTGGATGAGTAATGATCTTGAAAACATTTTCATATGGTCATTCACTACTGAAATGTCTTCTTGATTGAAGTGCCACTGAACTTGTTACCTCCCATCTTTTCAAATGGGCTGTCAAGTGGAAAGGTTATTAACAAATTGCTGGGGAAAAATAAATTTTTCATGTCTTGATCTGTAAGACTGATTCATATATCTATACATAAAGTTTGGTTTTTCATGCATTATTTAATAAATTTCTACCTATTAAGGACTTCAATATTCTTCCTGTGTTTTTTTCTACAATAATTAATCTTTCATAAGGAGTTTTATATAAACTATTTCAAATTGATTATCTGTTGTGTGATAAACCTTTTTCATATGCATATGTATTAACTAGGACCATTTACTAAAGACCACTCTTATCTCTCTGTACTTCCCTGGAAACTTTGTGTACACCAGCTATGACTGCACGTGTGTTTTTGGAGTCTGTTCTACTCCATTCATCCAGTTCTCTTTGCTCTAATTCCACAGTGTCTTAAGTTACTGGAGCTTTTTTTTTTTTTTTTTTTTTTTTTTTTTTGAGACAGGGTCTTGTTATGCAGCTCAGGCCAGCCTTGAGCTCACTTTGTAACCCAGGAGCTGGTCTGGAATTTGTAAAGATCCTCACCTTCCAAGTGCTGGAATTACAGGTGTGCACCACCACACTTGGTGTTGGAGCTTTTTGTAAGTTTATATCAGTGGTAGTTTATTTTTTCAACAGTACAGTTCAAAACTGCCTTGGCTGTTCTTGGAACTCTGATGAGCTGAAGTGGTTACTGTGGATGCACATGTCTTATTCTTAAATATGATGCAATAGTTCACCATTAATGTTGATGTTATCCAAGAGGCTTTTTGTATCTACCCACTGACCATAGAGAGACTGAGCTAAAAATTAATACAGAAAGCTAATGTAAAAAAAAATTGGTCAGGCGTGGTGGTGCATGCCTGTAATCCCAGCATTTGGGAGGCTTATGCAGAAGGACTGTGATGAATTTGAAGCCAGCCTGGGCTGCTGAGTGATTTCAAGGCCAGGCCGAACTACATAGGGAAACCCTGTTTCATCACTCCCAACAAACAAAATAGACAATAAAACAAAGCACCCAAACCCAAAATTCAAAGACCAAACTCTGAAATTTGGAAATTAGGTAATACAGCTAAACAGGGCTGAGACTAGCGGGGAGTCTAAGGAGTAAAAGTGCCATGTCTGTGATTCCAGAGTGAGAGAGGGCCTCCTTCATGTTGTGCCTTTACTTACTTCACGCTGGCCCCAGTTTTATTCTTAATAGTCCAGAGGTTTTCTAAAGGTCTTAGTAGAGAAAGGAAAATGTCAAATTTAGTGATCATGATAGTTAACTGACTATGTCAAACTGAGTAAGAAATGCCCAACTAAATTAGATCACAATAGTTCTGGATGTGGCTGAGTGATTTACTGAAGACAGAAGACCCTTCTGAGTTGATTTGTTGCTTCAATGGTGTAAGAGGGAAACAAAGAAGGAAGGTTCATTCTGTTTTTTGCTTCTGTTTTTTCAGAAGAGCTCCAGTCTTCACCTTCTACTTTTTTTTAATTGGTACCAGGGATTGAACTCATGTCTGTCTGCTTGCAAGGCAGGCACTTATGCCACTGAGCTAAATCCCCAGCCCTAAGTCTTCACCTTTCCCTTGGTCGGCTTACAGTGCAGAAACTTTGGTATCTAGAGGTGGACTCAAATGGGACATTACAGTGAGCTCCAGGCCTTAGACTCAGCCTTTGGATCGTTGGCTCTTAGGCAGCCCTTTTGTCAGCCCTTCCACTGACTTTGTGGGCAGCCATTGTGAGCTAATCTTGTAAATTCTTATATATGTGTATATCTTGCATTAAATCTATTTCTGTAATAAGCACTGACCAAGTATTGTAGAAAATAATTACAAAAATTTATGAGATGGAGGTAAAGCAATTTATGGAACTTTCTATCTCTAAAAAAATGCTCTCTGTTTCTATGGATTCCAGATCCATAGATTCAATCAATCGTGGGCTAAAATGTTTGTAAAAAATGTGTTAGTATTAAACAAGCAAAGATATTTCCTTTTTTGCCATTTTCCCCTAAAAAATACACTGTAACAACTATTTATACAGCCTTTACATTGTATTAGGTATAACTAGTAATCTAAAAATAATTTAAATTATACAGGAGGATGTTGTAGGTTACAGGCATATATTGCATCATTTTAAACAGGGACTTGAGCATCCCCAGATTTGATCTCTGCATGCGATTCTGGAACCAGTCCCCATAGACGCATAGGGATGCTAATTGCACGTAAAAAGAAGAAAGGTTAAAAATTTAAGTCAGCACTGTTATAGACTACAATGATGAACTGCCATCAGATTACAGATGGTTTGGCATCTGCTACAGCCCATTTGGTTCACGTGGCCTCTGAGCTTCTGAAATGAGGTACTGAATTTTAAATTTTATTTATTTTTCATTAGTTAAAAGAAACAAATCTTTAAAAGGTGATTACAAATTCTTTTAAATGTCAAGGTGATTGCAAATTCAAAACCAGTTATTTCAAACATTCTGAACAGTCACCTGAGGATCATATTCAAAAAGAAAGAAAAGTTTAAAAGAAGCAAGTCTTTACAAAGAATTACAAGTTAGTTGTACACTTTTCTCTCAATGAAACCTTAGGCCCCTCCTGAGTGTTGGAGGAAAGTACCGGACTTGCTTCCAAAGACTAGACTATGAAAAGGGAAAAAAAGTGAAATTTATCTTGAGGAAAGCAGTCATAAGTCATATTGAACAGGTGTCCTTAATTTTGATGTTAAGAATCACATGTCATATTTGTGATATTTTTTTAAACCTCTCAGTATAACCATGAGGATTTACTGCAGAATACCTGACCCTTATTTCTTAAAACTGTCAAGGTCACAAAAAAACAGAGAAGTTTAAGAAACTGTCACTTACCTGAGAAGGCTAAGGAAACAGTGATTAGCAGAAGTTCAATAAATCCTAGATGGGAATCTGAAACAGAAGAAGGTTAGTGGAAAAACTAGTGAAACTTGAATAAAGCTTTCAGCTAGGCTATAGTATTTATGGTGAATACTATTTTTTTGATATCAGAAATTTTGTGCAGCCAAAAGGAAATCATTTCCCACACATAATAAACTTTATAAATCTCTACATCTGTGATCCCTTCATTTTGATTATGGTATATTTTACCAAACACAAACCTTGATTTCAATGGGTAATATTTAGAATATGTATAATACAATCATATTAGAAATTGATAAAAGACCAGTTTTTTAAAATCTCATAGACTTTTAAAATAAATAACAAATCCTTGTGTTAAAAAGAAAATCATTAGGTCAATTAGGATGTACTTGAAATTGAAAGAGAATGAAATTCTTGCCAAGCAAAAGTTGTAGGACACAGTTAAATTGGCAGTGAAAGATAACTTACAGCACTTAATACTAGAAAAATAAGTTTCCAAACGGATTAAGCACTAACTAAAAAATGTTTTAGAGCAGAGCAAGAAAGCAAGCCTATAGGCACAGGATAGCAGAAGATAGTAAGGAATGTAAGGAAAAAAAAACAGAAGAAAAAATAACACTAGAGATTAACCAGATGAAAACCTTTTTATTTCTAAAAAAAATTGCTAAAACTTCTAACAGACTTAGTCATTTAAGAAAACATCAAAAGTTCCAAATAAAATCTGTGAGAAAATATTTCCTGCAAAGGACAAAGTAGTAAATATTGTATATGGTCTCTGGCAATTAATAAATTTTACTGTTGTAAAAAACACAACGTTTAAAGGCACAGGCATGTTGTATTCCAATAAAACTGTATGAACACATATGTTTGAATTTCATATAATTTTAATGATATTCTTCTTTGCATTTTTTCCCACCAATTAAAAATAAAACAAAAAACAAAATAAAAAACTTACCCCAGCACTCTGGGAAGCTGACACAGGAGGATAAAAAATTGGAGCCCAGCTGGGCAACTCGGTGACTTAGTAAGACTCAAATTTTAAAACAAAATAAAAATGGGGCGGGGATGTAGCTCACTTCTTCCTCAGTTCATCCTCAGCACTGTGGGGATGGTAAGGGACAACAAAGAAAAAAAAATAAAAGTAAAATCTTGTTTTCTTTTCTGGTATTGGGGGTTGGGGAATTGAAACCACGGTATTCACATAGCTGCCCAGGCTTGGCTTTAATTTGTGATCCTCCTGCCTCAGCCTCCCACATGCAAGCGCCATCACATGATCTCTCTGGTTTTGTTTTTATTTTTTTAATTTTATTTTTGGGGGCATGGTCTCGCTATATAGCTCAGGCTGGTCTTCAACTCGCTATTTATTATGTAATTTAGGCTGGCCTCTTGAACTCCTGGTGATCCTCCTGCTTCAGCCTTCCGAGTGCTGAGATTACAAACCTGCACTATCAGGTCCCGCTAAAATCTGTTCTTAGTTCAGTGAAATCTGTTTGTGTGTTTTGTTTTGTGCCGGTGGGTGATCAAACTCACGGCCTCACGTTTGCCTAGCAGGCACTTATGCCGCTGAGCTAACACCCCCCCCCCCCACCTCCGTCCAGTTCACTGAAATCTTAAAAAGAAATATATATATTCTTTTTAAGGCAGGCTGGACTGGAGTCGTTCTAGATGTTGCTTCAAGAAGATGGGGTTTAAGGTCAGTTTTTCTTCTGCTTCTAAATTCCAAATTCCTGAAGCATGGACTAGTCAGGTAGTACTTTCATAGAAAAAGGTCCACACCTGAGGATTACAGCAGCTTTATTTCAAGTGGGTCAGGTGGACTGGAAGCCCAATGCTGTGGTCTGAGCTGCACCAGATCGCTGGCCGGCTCAAGCTCCTTCTAGGGGCTTTGAGGGATTTCCACCGCCTTTGCTCCTCTGGGCCGGACACCTGGCCTGCAGTGACCACCACCGGCGCCACAGCCTGCGCATGCGCCCCGCCTGCCCGACCTTGCACCCGCACCTGGCAGCCAATCACAGGCCGTCCTGGGCGCGCGTGCGGAGGCTCGCGGGCTGCCGCAGGCTGTGTGAGCTTGAGGAGGTGGCGTGGCCTCAGGCTCTGCCCGAGGAGCGCTGCTCGGGCGGGTGCCACGCCGCTGCTTCGCGGGAGCGGCGGAGACTGGTAAGAACGGGGCGTGGCGTGGCTCTGCGTTCCCGCAGCGGGGGCGGGCGGGTGGGCGGCCGCAACGCGCGGCGTTTCGGACACCTGGTGCGCGGCGCCTGCGCTGGCCGAGCGGCCTCCGGGCTGCGGTCCTCGGGAAGACACGCGCCCCGCGCCCCCTCACCTCCCGGCCCCGGTCTCAGCGCCGCGCGGTCCTTCCGCACCCTGCGCCCTGGCCTGGGGTAGGGGTCAGTCCAACCCTCCCTACCCGCCCCAGCCTCCGACCCCGACCCCGGCCTCGGCTCCAGCCCCGGCCCCGGCCCCGGCCCGGGCCCTGCTCCTGGCCCTGGCCCTGGCCCTGCGTGGTCTCTTGGTAATGTTTAATCGTCTTAAACATCGTAAAGCACTTTCCTAACCACCGCACCATACCCCATTCTAGACAGCTTATACGACCCCAACCTTTCAGGCTTTTGAAACACTTTATTTATTGGTTTCGCTCCTATGTTGCATCGCCTTATGTTTCGTATCTGTGCAAGCTTTTCCGGACCCTATTGAAAACCTCTACGCCCAGTTTTGATTTGGGTAGTGTATAGGGGGCGTGTTTTCTGTACTGAGGGAAGGTAGATTGGAGGAATGGTTTTGGGAGAAATGGTCTCAGTTCTCTTGCTTGGTTAAATATAAGATAGTTAATAAATGGGGCATTCAAAAGGGGGTTTTAGGCTCTGGTTAGAGTTCTATTCTTTTGACATGTAAATAACCCGAATACTTTTCTCTCTAGTGACCTCAAAGATGTGATATCCTGCTGGAAACATCCCAAGATCTTAAAAGTTTCAGTCCAGGATAGAGCAGGGTAAGAGAAAGGTCTCTATAATAGAGATCAAGTTTGTATCTTTTTTTCTTAAGCTTTTTTTGTGTTCTCTTTCTTGCTAAAACATTACTATTTAGCATATCTTGGGGCAATCTGGATGTGTGTGATACATTCAAGCCAATCGCTTATTTTTAAAAACGCCCCCCCCCCCATTCAGTATTGGGGCTTAAACCCAGGGTTTTTCATTTAACTATGTTGCCAGCGCCCGTGCCCACATCCCTTTTGGGACAAGATTTTGCTAAATCTCTAAATTGGCCAAGCAGTTGGGCTTGAAATTAGGATCCTCCTGCCTCAGCCCCTTAGAGTGCTGGGGTTATAGTTGTGTGCCACCATGCCACACTATTTAAGTAATTCGCGGGCTCTTTAAAATGTTTCCTACTACAAAGGAAAATGAAATGGTGGATAAAAAAGGAATCATAGGTGTTTAGTTATTTGGTGCTGTCTTGAGGCTAAAGTGAATTGATATACATACCCTAAAGTTTTAGCTAATGCACTAGAGTGGAAGAGCTTTTCTTTTTTCTAAATCATTTTATTTCAAGAAGAAAAAAAAAACTATAACAAAATTTCAAAACATTTCAATCAAGGGGCAACAATAGTACATACACTGTGCATTGTCATGTCAAATCATTTAGGGTACAAGACTTCTGCATTCAATTGTCTTGACACCAGCACAAATCTTTCTCTTTAGTGAACTCAGAAAATCAGTAGTTTAACTATCTTAACTGCTTTTAATATGCATGTACATGTTTTTTTCTTTCAGCTTCTCATGGCAATGAAACAATACAATGTTAAGACATGTATCTTATTTCATTAATGAGTATGTTCTCAAGTTGCATCCATTTACCTATAAAAAAGTCTCCAGTTTATCCTTCTTTGTCGCTGAGTAGTACCCTTGTATAAAAATGCCACATCTTTTTTCATCCATTCCTCAGTGGGTGAGCATTTAGGTTGTTTCCAAGATCTGGCTATTACAAATTGTGTTGCTGTAAACGTGGGTGCACATAAATCACTGTTGTATGATGTTTTTAATTTTTTTAGGAAGATGCCAAAAGGGGAATAAGTTGCATGTTGGGATCTGTGCCTAGATCCCCAGTCCCGCAAATAGCCCAAAGGAATGAGACAATGGGCATGATATTTAGGGCATGATATTTAGGGTACTACTCTAGATATGAGTCCAGTTTTAATCTTCAACATGTATAGAGCCAGTTTTTCCAGCACCATCTTATTAAAGAGGCTGTGTTTCTTCCAGTGAATGTGTTTGGCTCCTTTGTTAAAGATAAGGTGGATTAGTGTGTCTGGTGTTGTTTCTGCATCTTCTAATTTGTTCCATTGATCTTCAGGTCTGTTTCTTTTTGCCAGTACCACACTTTATTATTATTATTATTATGCTATCGTGCTAGCTTTATAGTATAATTTCAAGTCAGGGATTGTGATGCCCCAGTCTTGTCTGTTGCCCAGGATTTCCTTTGCTATTTTAGGTCTCTTCTGATTCCAGATGAATTTTTGAATTGTTTTCTCTAATTCTATGAGAGTTGCTATTGGAATTTTGATTGGGATTGTGGTGAATCTGTGTAACAGTTTTCGAAGTATGGCCATTTTTACTATATCTTCCTCCCCAAGAGCAAGGGAAAGCTCCCCATTTTTTTTGTTGGTACCAGGGATCAAACTCACGACCTCGAACTTGCCAGGCAGGCACTTATGCCACTGATCTAAATCCCCAGCTGAAGCTCTCCATTTTCTAATACCCTCTTCAGTCTCCTTTTTTAGAGTACTGTAGTTTTCAATAGAGGTCTTTTACTGTAAAGGTATTTTACATCCTGTTAGATTGATTCCTAGATATTTCATTTCTTTGGGTGCTGTTGTAAAAGGTATTGTTTCCCTGATTTCTTCCTGAATGAGTTTGTTATTTGTGTACAAGAAGGCGACTGATTTTTGAGTGTTGATTTTGTAACCAACTAAGCTACTGAATTTGCTTATTAAATCTAGAAGTCTTTCGGTGGAGTTTTAAGTAAAGTAGCATGTCATCTGTAAATAATGATGATTTAACTCACTCCTTTCCTATCTCTATTCCTTTTATTTCCTTCTCTTGTCTACTTGCTCCAGCTAAAGTTTTCAGGACTATGTTGAATAAAGAGTGGTGACAGTGGACAGCCTTGTCTTGTCCCTTATTTTAGACTGAAAGCTTTCAGTTTTGTTCCTTTAGTGTGATGCTGGCTGTAGGTTTATTATAACTGGTTTTTATCAGAGTGAGGTAGAGACTATCATAATTCTTGTACGGTTTTTTTAAAATCATGAATGGGTGCTAAACTTTGTCAAAAGCTTTTTTTTTTTTTGCATGTATTGAGATGATTATATGGTTTTTGTCTTTGACTCTGTTAATATGGTATATTACATTTATAGATTTATATATGTTGAACCACCTCTGAGATGAATTCCACTTGGTCATGGTGTATAATCTTGATGATTTGCTGCAGTCTGTTTGCCAATATCTTACTGAGGATTATTGCATCTATGTTCATTAGGGAGATTGGCCTGTAATTCTCTTTTTTAATTGGGTCCTTCTGTGGTTTTGATAATAGGGTAGTACTTGCTTCCAGGAATGAATTTGGAAGTATTGCTTCCTGTTCAATTTCATTAAAGATATTGAGAAGTATTGGTGTTAGGTCGTCTCTAAGTTTCTTGTACAATTCAGCAGTGAATCTGTCAGGGCCTGGGCTTTTGTTGATAGGTTTTTAATTGCATCTTTAATTTAATTTCTTTTTTTTTTTTTTTAAAGGCTTAAAATGTACTTTAATAAGTTGATGCTGTATTACCACTCCACTTCTCAGAAAACTCCAAATTTAAGGTATCAGGGATAAATCAAACATGGTACACCAATAAAAATGCACAGCATACTTATCTAAGATAGGCAAGGCTAAGAGCTACTGTCAGACCTTCAGCATACAGCAACCCTGTTCCCAAGATTGTACTAAGCCTATCAAGAAAAGCTGTGAAGAGCAACATCATGGACATAAAAGGGTCATTCCTAGGACGTTCTTACCCAAGGAAAACATGGAGGCAAGTTAACACAAGAATTTTTTTAAGATATACTAAAAGGAAAATCTCTAAGAGAAAATGTCTTTACTACATGAAAGGATAATATATGGGATATAACAGAACACACATAAGCTGTCTGTGACCTCTGTGGACATTTGCCTGAATCCTCATCTGGGAGCAAATGGAGCAATGGGGCTAAGGTCACTGGGAGATGGAGATGTTTGGTTTTTGTGGTATATGTGGCAGTGTCTCTGGAGTGAGGGGTGTAGAAAGCAAATAAAACACAATGGACAAAAAACCGGAATGATCAAGATTAACAGGACTCCAAGGAACCATTGTCATGGTTGCCCCAGGCCTTCAACAATTAATTATATTTGAAATTTCAGGAATGCATCACACAGAAATTGATTAAACAATATACCACACAGAACTGATTCGTTAAATATCACCCCTCCCTTGCCCTCTGCCTCCAGCATACTCCCTTAGAGTAGTACCAGGCAGGGAAGACCTAACTATTGGGAGGAATCCCTAACACTTTTTCAAGTTAGAATTCTGGCTAGTCCAAAAGGGTTCCTTCTTTTAAGGGTCTCAGGAAACTAGACACTGCAACTTTATTAGTATCGGCGACGTTTGTTTGGAGCAAATTCAGCTCCAGGAGCTGCACGGTTGAATGCAGGAGGGGTTCCACCAATTGCCCCGATTCCTTCCATTGTAGCAGCTTGGCCAAAGCGTTCACTTGTTGGTGGGGTCAGTCCCAATGTTCCATCTGGCATCATAGTAGCAGGTCCTGGAGGAGCTGGGGTACCAGCCGGCACAGGAGCAGGGGGCATGGCGCCTCTGTTGTTTATGCCCATAGCACCTCCCATAGCCATCTGGCCCATCCGAATCTCTTGTTCTCTCGCATCAGGGAAGGTTCCCTTGAATCCTTCCTGCTGTCGCCGCATCATCTCTTCTTGTTGCCTCCGCATTTCCTCTTCACGGCGCCTATGCTCCTCTTCCTGCCTGAGCTCCAGTTGCTTTCGTTTTTGGACCTCTTGGTTATGCAGCTCTTCCATTCTCCGAAGTTCTTCTTGGCGTCTCATCAAATCTTGCCTCATCAGCATAACCTGGTGCTCATGGCGAGCAGCCTCCATCTCCATCTCTAGCTTCTCACGAGCTTCCTTGATATTGCGGTCCACTTGATCCTGCTGCTGCTTCTCCATCTCAATAAGTGCCTTCCAGCGCATGGCATACTCATATTCAAAGGAGCCAGGTTGTGCAAATCTAGGTGGCTGCTCTCGCTCCTTGTGAAATTGTTGGTTCTTTATAACAAGTTTTTCTGGAAGTCCTTCTTCATCATCTAACTGGTCCATAGGCTCCACAGTCACAGGCCGAGGAAATGTGGTTAGCAGGAAAGATCCTTCACTGCATCTGTCAAGAGCTTTCCGTGCAGCTGGCTTCCCTGAGAACTCAACAATGCCTTTTCCCGAGGGCCTTCCTCGATCATCCACAATAACTACAGCCCTTTCCACCTGGCCAAACACAGAAAAGGCTTCTTCCAGTAGCTCATTGGACACATACTGAGGAAGGTTTCGGACTGTAAGGGATGCACTATGGCAGGCAAAGCGCACACGCAGTTGTTTTCCACGGAGGGGCATATTATCGAGCTCCATTTTGGCAATCTCCGCAAGGGTTCGTGTTTCCAAGCGGATAAAGCCAAAGCCTTTATCCTTATGAATGAAAACTTCTCCTGCTTTCCCATATTTTTCAAATAGTTTCCTCATTTCCTCCTCAGTGATATCCGGGGGAAGATTCCCCACAAAGAGACGGCTACGTTGGGTAAAGGTCTTCTCTCCTGGTTTCCTAAAATTCTTCAGGTCAATAGTCAAACCTTCATTTTGGCTGCTGGCCTGTTGCCCATTTGCAGGTATCGGTGGTGGTGGTGGTGGCGGCTGCTGCTGTGGCTGCTGCTGTGCCTGCTGCTGTGGCTGTGGCTGCGGCTGCGGCTGCTGCTGCGGCTGTGACTGGTGGTGCTGCTGGTGGTGATGTTGATGATGCTTCCTGGAAGTATGGTTCTGCTTCTCCAAATTAAAAGTTTTATTGCTCTGCATTTTTACACCCTAATACCGACAATCTTCTCCTCAGAGTAACAGCGACGCTACACAGGCTCCACCGTCCTGAGAAAAGAGCGCGCGACCTAATTTAATTTCTTGATACTGGCTTCTTTAGGATTTTTATATCTTCCTGATTCAGCTTTGATGATTTGTTTGTATCTAAGAGTCTGTTTACTTTCTTTGCATTTTCCATCTTATTAGAATATAAATCTTCAAAGTAGCTATCTATAGATGATTTTATGGATTTCTGCAGGGTCTATTAATAGTGATTTCACCCTTTTCATTCCTAATTGTGTGGCTATGAGGCTTTTCTTCCTTTTTTAATTTTTTTTTGATAATGTTGACTAAGGCTTTGTCAATTTTATTTAATCTTTGAAAGAATCAGCCCTTTGATTCACTGATTCTTTGTGCTTTTTTTTTAGTTTACAGTATGTTAATTTTTGTGCTCTGATCTTTATAGTTTCCTCCCTTGTGCAAATTTCTGGCTTAGCTTGCTATTCTTTTTCTAGAAGTTTCAGGTTCAACATTAAGTTGTTTATGTGTGCTTGCTCTGTTTTCCTGATACGGATATGTACGGCTAAAAGTTTCCCTTTTAAGACTGCTTTTATTGTGTCAAACAAGTCCCTGTATGTTGTATTGTCATTATCATTCAACTGTAAAAACTGTCTAATTTCTTCTTTAATTTCATCTGTGATTCATTGGTTGTTCAGTAGGGTGCTGTTTAATTTCTGTATATTTATCAAGTTCTTGTGGTTTCCTTTGTCATAGTATCCAATTTCATTGCACTGTGGTCTGATAATATGCATGGGATAATTTCAATTCCTTTGCATTTATTTAAGTATGTTTTACGAGCCAGTGTATGGTCTGTTTTGGAGAATGTCCTGTGTGTAGCTAAGAAGAATGTGTTTTCTGGTGTTGTGGGGTGGAACACTCTATAGACATCTACTAAGTCCTTTTCTTCAAAAGTTTGATTTAGTTCTAATATTTCATGATAGATTTTTTTGTTTGATTGATCTTTTTGTTACAATAGGGTATTGAGGTCTCCCAATACAATTGTATTAGGGGTTGCTTGATTTTTCATGTCCGTTAGTAATTGTTTTTTATAATTGGGTACGCTGGTATTAGTTGTATATATATTTATGCTTGCTGTCTCTTCCTCCTGGACTGTTCCTTTTACAAAGATGTAGTGATCTTTATCTCTCTTAATCTCTTAATTCTTCTTGGCTTGAAATTTGCTTTGTCTGCAAATGGAATAGCTACTCCTGCTTTTTTTCTGGGTTCCTGTTGCATGGGGTATTGTTTTCCATCCTTTGACTTTCAGTCTGTGAATTTTTGAATTAAATGTTTCTTATATGCAGCATATTGTTGGATCTTGCTCTTGATACATTGTGCCTGTCTGTGTCTCCTGACTGGTGAATTAAAACCATTAACATTGATGGTTATTACTAGTTTGTATGACTTGTCCTTGTCATGTTATTTTACTGTTGCTGGCTCCTACTTTTTATTTTTCCCTTTCCTCTAATTGTTCGCCTCTCCTTGTGGATTCCTTCTGTTAGGGTTCATACAGCTGTAGTCCTTATTATCTCTTTCTAGAATGTCCTGTAGAACATTTTGGAGTGCTGGTTTGATGGTCATTAATTTCCTCTGAAGTTCTTTGTTGTGGAAATATCTTATTTCTCCATAAATTTAGAAAGATAGTTTTGCAGGGCACATCAATTTGGGTTGAAAGTGTTTTCTTTTAGAATTTGGAGTACTTCATTCCACACCCTCCTTGACTTGAGAGTTTGTTGCTGAGAAGTCAGCTGTAATTTTGATGGGTTTTCTTTTATAGATGACTTGATTCTTTTCTCTAACAACTTTTAGGATTCTATTTTTGTGTTGAGTTTCTGGAATCTTGACTGTGATATGCTTGGCTGTAGATTTTTTTTTAATTTGATCATTACTAACTGGAAATCTGTATGGTTTATCTATGTGTCAAATTCTTTTTCTCTACCAGAAAAGTTTTATGTCATAATGTCTGTGAACATTTTTTAAATATCATTTGTAGTATCTCCTGCTTGTTTATTGACTCCAGTTAGTCTTAAGTTATTCTTGTTTGTCTCATCTAGCAGTTGCTTGATTGATTTTTCATGGTCCTGTGCTATTTTTGAGAACTCTTTCTTTTCCTGGTCACTAACTGCACGCCTGTCTGCAATATCTGAGATCTTATTCTTCTGTTGGCCTAATTGGCTTCAAATATTTTCCGTGGAGTTTTTATTCTCCTGGACATCTGCTTGAATCTGCTTTATGGATTCCATTTCTTTCCTGTGCTAAGCTTCCATAATTTGCTTAAGCTCATCTGTTTTATTTTTTTTTTTTGGGGGGGGGGATCCATGTTTACTCCTAACATTGCTATGCAGTATATTTTGGTAATCTCTGTATTTATCTGAGAGACTATTTCTGATTTCATTTTTTCCAAGGCCTCATTAAGTTTCCACTTTAGAGCGACCTTGAGGGTGAGGGCACTTTCGGAATGTCCCATTTCATTGCCTCTGCGTTTGTCATTAGTGAACTGAATGTCTTACCTTGTATCTTGCTTGTGTCTTCTCATTTTATTTTCTGTTTTTTATTATTAATTCCAGGGATGGTGCTTGTAAGTCACCTATAGTGGGTTGCTTTATTGGTAGTATTTAGATGATCATTACTTCTGAGTTATTATCCAGGGGTAGCTGGTTTTTAGGTTTTGAATCTGTTGGAAGATCTTACCTCTTCAGTTTGTTGGAGATGAGAAGTTGTTGCTTTGTTTGGCCGAGTTCCTAGTTCTTTGACACTGTGCCACCATATTTTGTGTGACCCTTTGTTAATCTCAGTCATGGATTATGAGAACCAATAGCTATTTAGAACAATTATGTCCATTTTGGCTATAATGGTACGAATAACATTCATTGGTGACTTTTAATCATATGAACTAGATTTGTGATTATATAATATTGTAATCCCAAATATTGTGTATAGTCATCCAAGTTTTGTAATCCCTTTTCTGATCTTCCTCATAATCCAAAAAGTTGTATTTGTAATCCTATTGAAACGTTATTGGAAGCCCAGCAAGTTAATTCCAATCTACTACCTCTAATGCAACCAATGATGATAGTAAAGACATCGAGACATATTCCAAGTTAAAGGCAGCCAAGGGGTCCTAAATCCAATCCCTTGAGGATGTGTGGACAAAGGCCCAGTTCCTAGGCCTTTCCCAGAATTTATTATCTTGTGAAGAAGGGAGTGGCTTGAGGAATAGTGACAATGAGGATAGCAGGAATTACCTGAGTAACTTGAGCTGGGCAGGTAGGAAGAAAAGCAGGTGTGTAACATGCAGAGATAAGGAAATGCAGAAGGATCAATGTACATAATCCAATTAAAGTAGCAACTGAATAGTTTTAGGAGGCTGTTGCTTCCTCTTTCTTTCTTTCTTTCTTTCTTTCTTTCTTTCTTTCTTTCTTTCTTTCTTTCTTTCCTTTCTTTCCTTTCGTCTTTTTGAGACAGGGTCTCATTGTGCAGTTCAGGCTGGTCTTGGGCTCACTTTGTAGCCGAGGCTCTTCTCGAACTCCCAAGGATCATCCTGCCTCAGCCTCCCGAGTGCTGGAATTACAGGCGTGAGCCACCGTGCCCAGCTTCCTGTTTCTGATATGTAAACTTTTATGCCCTGGGGAGTCATAGCTTCTTTACCTTGAGGCTCATACCCAGTTGACATTTGTGGAGCTGATGGCTCTAACATCCAACTGTGCTTACATGTTTTAGAAAGAGCACTATGCATGGAAACAGGAGACTATCCGATGGCTTTAGAAATTACATATCAGTACCTCCGCTAGCTTTATTTGCAATGCTTAGAGCCAACTGAAGAGAGAAGGAAATACCATAGTCAACTCTGTACATATCAGTATAAGGAAATAAGTTTCCATATAATCAAAGTTGCAGCAGTTGTTCTGATTCAAGGGGAGTCACCTAAGTTGTCTCCCACAATATAACAAAATGTAAGACAAACTAGATAATTGTATGCAGGATATAAGTCCATAATGTGTCAATTTTGCCTTTGAGGGTTTAATGTTAGAGTAAGGAGAAAATAGAGAAGTAGTAAGACTTTAGAAAGTCAAAGGGGGATCTTTCCAATTTGGGGAAATTGCTGCAGAAGGCTGAAGGGAAAAAGATAAATGGAAGAGATAAAAAGAAGAACAGAACAGAACCACACTCACAATGAGGTTCAGTGCCACTTTTACACTCATAAAAAAAGAATGAAGCAGGAAGAAAAGAAAAAAATAAAAAGCCAAAAAAGAAAGAAAAATGAATAGTCCTCTACTTGTACATTTATTTATTCAAGCATTATTATTCTGGTGAGTTTTTTTTTTTTTCCCCCTTGGGTTTTGTGTTTCTCTAGATAACAAATGTATTGATTCGATTCTTTTCTTTACTTCAGAACCGATTGTTTGATATTGTATCCTCTTCCTGTTTATTTTGTATCTGCTTGTCTTTAGGGGAAATTGTTTTCAGAGTTGTCTGAATTTTCTGTTAGCAATCCTTCCATTCTACCTTGTCAGGGTCATCAGTGACTTCCATATTGTTTTAATCCAATAATCACCCATTATTACTAGACATTTTCCTCCCCTAGCTGACATAGAATTCATATCCCATAAAATTCACCCTATGGAGTGTGAAATATAATTGTCTGACCATGTAGGGCCAGGGATGTAGCTCAGTAGCGCAGCGCCTACCTGGCAAGTGTAGGGTCCTGATTTTGATTCCTGGTTACCCCCTTCCCCCAAAGGAAAAAAAAAACCAAACAAACCAACAAGTATCTAACTCCAGGACATTTCATCACCCTAAGGATTATTAGCAGTGGTTCTTGTATTATTTTCTTGGGGCTGCTGTAACAAATTACTACAACTTTGATGGCTTATAAGATTTATTTTGCCTTAGTTCTGGAGGCAAATCACTTTCACTGGATGTAAATCAAGAAGGATGTTGGCAGTCCTATGCTTTCTCTAGAGAGACTAATAAGGGAGAATCCATTCCTTGTGCTATCCAGTCTGTGGATGTGATGTTCTTTGGTATTGTTACTCTAATCTCCACTGCTGTCTTCATATCATCTTCTAATATTTAGGTGAGATTTACCTTTGCTTTTTTAGAAGGCATTTTTCAATGGCATTTTGGGGCCTACCTGTATATGTAGGTTGCTTGTTCCACCTCAAGATCCTTAATCACATTTCTAAAGACAGCCCCCCACCCTTTTGTGACAGAATCTCACTGTGTAGTGCAGATTGGGCTTGAACTTACTGTGTAGCCCAGGCTGACTCAGACTCACAGTGATCCTTCTGCCTCAGCCTCCTGAGTCCTGTCATCACAGGCATGTGCCACCAAGCTCAGCTTAGGATCTGTAAATTCTTGATCCAGCGAACAACCTAATTTTAACAGTTGCTCTCTTCATAACCATATACGCTAGTATTGACCTTGTTTTACACTATTCTACTACTCTAAGCTTATCTATAGAAAAAGTATTTATTAGAAATATTTATGAAAAGAAGTTTACTTACTTGGTTTTGCAGTGCTGAGTATTAAACCTCACTTCCTTAAATATAAACACATGGTCTACTACTGCACTAAGTCTTTTTCTGAAAAATATTTTTGTTTTACTGAGTTCCCCTGGAGTGGAATTCAAATGCTTTCTGTGATTTCTATGAAGCTACCATTTTCCCCAGTGGTCTGTATTCATTCGTCATTAAATTATGGCAGCACATATGTAGTCATTGACGAGGAAGGGACTCGCGGAGAGAGAGTGAATGAGGAAGTGGGGGATGTCTGAAGGAGTGGCAGTACTATGTGAGTGGGAGACAGGAGAAACCAGAGGAGTGTTGGTGGCCTAAGATCTACTCTCATAGGTTGCTCAAGAAAAAGACTTGATGCCTGCAAAGCTGGTTTGTGGCTATCACAAAGTTACTGGTGAAAGTTACAATTCATTAGGCTATTCAGCAAATTCTCTGTTTGCTGAGCATCTGTGTTGTTCAGGTACTGTTCTGTGTCAACAGAAAATACAGTCCCTGCCCTTTGAATTTATCTTGTGCTGGATGAGGAAAACAAAGATAAGTAAAGTTTTAGTGTATGTGCTGCTGAAGTGAGAACAATAAGTGAAGTTTATAACATGATAAAAAGTTATATGACTTAAAGGTGAAAGAGAAGAGAAATGAGATTGGCAATACAGATTAGAGGTTGACTGAAACATTTTATGATTATACTGAGAAGAGTGCTTGAACAACTGAATCCTAAAGATGGTAAAGAATAACTGTGCAGGTATCTGGATGAAGACTATTAATACTAAAGGAAACAACAAATATAAGGGGCCTAAGCAAGGTAATGGGTTTAGTGTGCTCAGAAAATACTAAGGTGGTCAGCTGTGGTGGGATACACCTGTAATGCCAGCACTTGCGAGGCTAAGGCAGAATGAGTGCCGTAAATTTGAGACCAGCCTGGGCTACAAAGTCAGTTCAAAGCCAGCCTGCTGTACATAGCGAGACCCTGTTTCAAAAAAATAAAAAAGAAATAACAAGCTTGTTATTAATAATAAAAAGCACTTACTTTTACTTAAAAGTAAAATTTTTGTTAAATAACAATTAGTCATGGCAGGCTGAGGATTCCAGCTTAATTTCTAGGTCCAAAGCCCATGCTTTTAAACGTTGCACTATGCTGCCTTTGTAAAAATACTTGTCCTCTACATATAATTTGACCTGGCGATTAGTTGATAGTTTGTTTTTCCAGTGTAAGAAAATTATAATCAGTTTAGAGCAAAGCCATGAAATTGATTCTGGATCATAGAGACCTTGTTTTTTTTATCATAAATTTTAAGTTGCTATTTATTCTCCTTGATTCAAAGTGCCTTTGTCTGTAAACTAAGTGGTTTTTTGTTTGTTTGTTTGTTTTTGGTACCGGGGATTGAACTCATGACCTTGCACTTGTCAGGTAGGTGCTATGCCACTTGAGCTACATACCTGGCAGTAAAAGAAGTATGTTTATAACTACCTCAGAGTTTTAGAGAATTAAATAAGATAATGTATTTTTATACATTTACTAATGTGTAGTGTGTTTGTACTTAGGTGGCAGATGAAATAAAAGAAACACTGGGACTTGCGGCCACATCTTTCAAGAACAGAAAAATTAGAAAATGGAACAACCATGTTTGTTATATGAAGAAGACCCAGAACCAGAACTACAGAAAAGTGCAAAAGGAACCAAACAAAAGGATGATGAAGATGCTGAACTGATCTTTGTTGGGGTAGAACATGTAAATGAAGATGCTGAGCTGATTTTTGTTGGAATGACATCAAATTCAAAACCAGTTGTTTCAAATATTTTAAACAGAGTCACCCCAGGTTCGTGTTCAAGGAGAAAAAAGTATGGTCGTTTGAGAAGAAGTACTGCCCAAAGTATGCAACCTGAAAGTCATGTCCCCTCTCCATCTGAAACAGTGACTATCTTGTCAGAGTCTCCATCTGAATCAAGGTCAACTGATAGTCCTATTATTATTGAACCTTTGTCTGAACTTGATGATAGAAATAATTCTTCACAAGTTGTGCCTAGTAGCTCTTCAAACTTAGATTCTCCTTTGGTTACATTAACAAATTCATCACATCATCCAGTAGAAACAGTACTTTCATCAGGAGATATGAATGAAAGTCCGTGTGTCTCAAAGCGATGCTCTACTTCCGAAGTAAATAACATAAATCCTAAAAGTCCTAAACTCAGTGATGGAATCATAGGAGGAATTTCTTCAGCCTTATCTGCTTCAGATAATTCTCCTACAGTGACTCTTCAGCAAAGTACATCTTCAAATGATGTTCATACCTCATTAAGCCATGTTCAGAATATAGCGCCTTTCCCAGCAGTTTTTCCAAAGGACAGTGTCCATTTCAGGCCTGCAAATATAAATCCTGATGTGGACAATGGATTGGCAAAAATTTCAACTCTAGCAGGTCAAAATAAGAACTGTGATCCCAAGACAGGAAGTCTGATCCTGTTACTTAGTGACTTTTACTATGGACAGCATAAAGGAAATGGGCAGCCAGAACCGAAGACTCACTCAACCTTCAAATGCCTCAGCTGCTTGAAAGTTCTAAAAAATGTTAAGTTTATGAATCACATGAAACACCATTTCGAACTTGAGAAGCAGAGGGGTGACAGCTGGGAAAGCCATACCACCTGCCAGCACTGTTATCGTCAGTTTCCCACTCCCTTCCAGCTGCAGCGTCACATTGCAAGTGTACACACTGCTGAGGAACCCTGTGCTGTCTGTAAAATCTGTGAGCTGTCATTTGAATCAGATCAGGCTCTTTTACAACACATGAAAGACAATCATAAACCTGGGGAAATGCCCTATGTGTGCCAGGTTTGCAATTACAGATCATCTGCCTTTGCTGATGTGGAAACACATTTTAGAATATGTCATGAACACACTAAGAATTTACTGTGTCCATTTTGTCTTAAAATTTTCAAAGCTGCAGCACCATATGTGTGTCATAGTAGGCGACACTGGGGAAAGAGTGTTAACCATTGTTCTAAATGTCGGCTTCAGTTTTTAACTTTTAAGGAGAAAATGGAGCATAAGACGCGGTGTCATCAGACCTTTAAGAAGCCAGAGCAACTAGAAGGATTACCTCCTGAAACCAAAGTTGTTATTCAAGTGTCACTGGGACCTACTCAGCCAGGCTCAGTGAAGGAAGCATCTATTACTGTGAGCGCAATGGAATCTGAATCATCTCCCCTCAGGTCTAAAAGCAAAATTTCCAAAAAAATCCATTAATTGTAGTTCTTTTAAAACCAAAACTAAACTTTTCAATCCAAAGCAAAAACCCCTGTAAAGACAAGAAAATACAAATCATACATTATTCAGTAGCACCAAAAATAGAAATGAATCAATTGAGATTTATTTTGGGGGGCTGAAGGTTCAGCTTAGCGGCATAAGCGCCTGCCTTGCAAACAGGCAGTCGTGAGTTCGATCCCTGGTACTGATAAAAACGAAAAAGACAAAAAAAAAAAAAAGATTTATTTTGAAGTTCATGGTAATAATCCTTTTGTTTTTTGAGACAGGCTCTCACTGTATACTCAGTGTAGCCCAGGCTGGCCTTGAACTTGCAGCGATCCTGCCACAGCCTGCCAAGGAGAACAATGCAGTTTTTGGGTGTGTGTGTGTGTGTGTGTGTGTGTGTGTGTGTGTATGAATGATGTGGAGAAATCCAGGGTTTCACACATTTGGAAAGTGTTCTACTACTGAGCCGCATTCTTGGCTCCTGCAGTATTATTATTTTTTTTTAATTTTGAGGTATTTTTATTTAAATTATATTACTTGGCTTTCATATTGTCTGGTTGAACACTTGAAAGGTATTTTTATGTGAATGTTTAGGAGAAAACAAAAGTGGAAACTTATTTATTTAATATTCATATTACTCTTAATCTTAAAAACTTACATGTTCCAAATTTTGTACTTTTTGAAGTATTTAATTTTATTTTCCATGTGTATTACAGATTTTTTTTTTTATAAAATACTCAGATTAAAATGGCTTTGTTATGTCCTGGTCCCTGAACTCCTAGATGTATCTGTGTGATGCTGTCATAAAACAGCTTGGTTCTGAAATCTTCTATGTGGATGTCAAGAAGCTGTGGCATGAATGGAGACAAGGAGGGCAGAGGTTAACTAAGGAAGAATAATGGTTTCTTGTCCCCATTGATAGTAAGTACACATTTACTACAGTCGTGGGGCTAAGGTAGAAAACTGCCTCAGAGTGTCTTTACCTAACACAAGAGCATCCAGGGAAGCAGAGTGATTCTAACAAATACGTGTGTTTGGTGAGATACTCGGATAGCTGCTATATTGCCTTAGCTTCAAGTAAGAAAGTGACAGTTACTCTGTTGAGTGGTCTGAAGGGAAATTGAATTCATTCTCTGCCCTCTCCCTTCTATCTAACCACTAGCGGAGTATGAAGAGGCTGTACACTTCTTCTCCATACCAGTGAAGCATGTGAACATTTCCCAAGAGAAGGAAGCCCTGGCATCCGGAGTTTTAAGGGTACTGGCCCCACAGTTTTAACTGAAAAGGGCCACACAAATGGTGTCTTTTGGTTAATGGACTGGGATACATTTAGGTCTCCTGCTGTTAAACTGTAGTGGGCTTGTCCGTGAACAAGTACAGCGGATAAAGTAGCCCAGGGAGACTGGTTAAAATTAAATCCATTGCAAGGCTTTTCTATTTTTAGTACATGTGTGTTTTACTCTTAGTTGAATATATGGTTTTTGGGGTTTTGAATCTTGCCCTGGGCATGAGTGTATTACAGTTAATAGTTTAATAGTTTTACTTTTGTGTATGTGAAATTTTCCTGCTGATGACACTGATACTGTTTGAGTCTTACTTGAAACACTCCAGTGTACAAAAAATGTGCTGTTGTTAACTTTAAGACTTAATAAGTATTAAGTTTCAGAGTTAATATCCTTCATGTAATATATGCTATTATTTATCATGTCACTATATCATAGAAGAACCCTTTTTTCTTGCCTTCCCCAGGGCTTTTCCACAGAATTGTGGAGTACTCTCTGAACATTGGTTCCTAAACACTGATGAGCTTTGGCTTCTGTGAGTTCCCAGGATTCTCTCCCCAGGTCTGTGCTAGTGCCATTCTTTGTCTCTCCATCCTCACCCTAGGTGCCCACCAGTCAGGGAGTCTCCTGGTTGTAGACATAGATCTGCAGAAACACTTTTTTCAGTTCTTCTTATATGTACCTTATTCTTCCTCTTCTCTTCTATTCATCTGGTTAAATTTTCTAAGCTTTAACAAAAAGCTGATTTATAAATTAAGAGAATTATAGCCGGGTGTGGTGGTGTGCACCTGTAATCCCAGTACCTGGGAGGCTGAGGCAGGAGGATTGCCATAAGTTTGAGGCCTGCATGGGCTACATAGTAAGTTCAAAGCCAACCTGAATTACATAGTAAGACCCTGTCTCGAAAGACATTTTAAAAAAAGTGGTACTACAGATAACTTAAATTGTAAGTACATTCCATTGTGTGTATGTAATTGATGCATACATCGTGTGTAATTGATGCATTGTGTGTATGTAATTGATGCATAATATTACGATTGCTTCGTAATTGATGGGTTAATTGACTTGCACCTTGAACATTTTGCTAGGCCTTTTCAATTTGATTTCTTGGGCCAAAGCATGTTGCTAAAATTTCACACAGAATGCTTTTTCTAGGTTTATAAAATGGTTTTAGTTTGGGATGTGTGTGTGTGTGTGTGTGTGTGTGTGTGTGTGTGTGTGTTTGTAGGTTTTCTGGTGAAAAGTCCCCTATATAAATAAATCTGCACATTTTGGTGTACTGTGTCATTAAGGTAAGAAGAAAATGCCTTAGTTCCATGTTCTAGTGACTGCTTATTTGCTTAGTAGTATTGGCACTACCACTGTTTCACTAAAGCATGCCCCTGAGGAGTGTATGTCAGTTATTGTCAACTGCAAGCTCCGGTGGTGTGGCCCCTATTGCCTCCTTTCCCATTTTCTGCCATGCTTCTGCACCATTTTCTTCATCAGTGCATGGCTGTGACACGCTGACAGTGTTACTCCTCAAGTCAGTCACATTTTTCCGGCTCCAGAGATGCACATGCTGTTCTTTTCTTCAGAGTGCTCTTCCCCTTGGCCTGCATGGCTTGCTACCTCACTTAATTGCTTGGCACTTCTCTGGGTTCATTGAGCTTTACAAAGGTTTTTAGAATAACTAGGAACACCCCCTGCTTACACAAAACAAGCAAAGCAAAACAATACAACGCCTTATTTCTTTTCCCTAAAGGCACATGACCTCCTTCTCTCCTTTCTTTCCTCTCCAATCTGCTTAAATTTCCTAGATTTTCACAAAAAACTAGGAAGGAATCATCCTCAAGGGCTTTGCTGCTTTCTTAGAATTGAGCTAGCTTGAGTCGATTTTTGTGCCTGCTGCCAAAAGAAAATTAATATAGTGAAGTGAGTCTTTCAGGAGCTTTCTGTTTTTCTATTGATAGCTCTCTATTTTTTTAAGGCAATGTCACTTTGTTTTGTTTACAAATATATTGAATATCTGTCCAGATTACTATTTTGTTATATTTTGTGAATTTCCTTGTCTATTTTGCTTGCTTGTTCTTTCAGATAAAATGTATTATTTTATTAATGTTGCCAACAACTAAATAAAATAGAAATTATATTAATAAAATGATTTATGAAAAAATGGTTTTGCTGTATTGTCTTTCTGCCACTAACACGCTAGGCTTCTAGTTCTATTTATTACCTCCTGCTGGTTGTATTATATAGTTTTATTTCATTGACCAGGGCACAATGATACATATGATGGATTATGGGATTTTTGTTTTTAATGAGAGATTGATTAAAGTTAGTGTATTTCTTAGAGAAGTTCTTTTATTTCCACTTTTAGAATCTTTAAAGAAGATTATTTTAATGGATAGTTTACAATGTCTCAAAGGTTTTTTTGTTTTAATAAAGAATTTAAGACTTTACATAATTCTCTTTAAAGTTTTTCCTTAATTCCAAATCTTGTGATACATATTTTAATTTAAATTTTTATTTTTCATTGCTTTTTCGGGGGGGGGAGGTAAATTAATTAAAAAGATTTAAAAATTTTGTAGTCTAAGTGATTTATTATATTTTGCCATGCTAGAGATCAGAACAGGGGCTCATACATGGGCTAGGAAAGGATTCTACCATTGAATTACATTCCCGCCTGCTGAGTGGTTTAATTTACAGTTTTACCAAGAACTAAGTTTTCCTTGGAGCTTTGAATGGTATGTGTTTAAGTGTGTATATGTGTATACACTGGCATATCTCTTTATATAAATATCCTTTTCAAGTTAGTACATGGATTATTAAAAAGATGCTTTAAATTTCTGTGGTACAGGTAAATTTTAAATTTTTTAAAATTTTAATTTCAGTTATTCCCTCAATGTAGAATAAAAGGTATAGGTATTATAAGCCCTAGTTAAAAAGCTTCGAACCAAACTATTAGAGTTGTTATACTCAGTGTGAACAGTATCAAGTTATCAAAAGTAATGACGAGTCTATGGCAGTATAAATTCTTGATTTTGACACAGAATGAGAAACCAACATAGCTTTTTTTTTTTTTAGCACACTCCGCCCCCCTCTCCCCTGCCAGTGCTGGAATTACAGATGTGTGTTACTGCCACCATCAGATGTAAGTTGTATATTCTTTGCATTTGTGTTACACATGGTAATATCTACAAGAAATAGGCTCTCAGGAGTCTGAGGCAGGCTTGTCATGAGTTAAAGGTCAGCCTGAACTGCATAGTGAGACCCTGTCTCAAAAAAAAAAAAAAAAAAAAAAGGCTTTGTGAATTGGTATGTGGTTGTTTGGGATTCCATATGCTGAAGAGAAGAATATAGACTTGTCTTATAGGATAGAACACTCTGTAGACACCAACTAAGTCTATTTTTAAGGATATGGTCTAGCTCTGTATTTTTTTTAAATCTATTTTTTTTTTGTTTAATTGATCCATCTTTTGCAAAAGCAGGGTGTTGAAACCACCCACCATGATTGTGGTAGTTGAATTTTTTATGGAAAGTATTTTTGAGAAAAGAGATTGGAAAAAGGGAAGACTTTTTCAATGAATGCTTCCTATTTATATTTTCTGTGTTATGTGTATTTTTCAATATAGAAAGTTAAAAGTAACATTATTTTTTGGCGAAAATGCATGTGATATATAATTTACTGATAGGTTTGTAGTCATGCAAATTATTAATTGCTATGTAAATAATACAGCACAACTTACTGGGTCAAGAAATTAAGAAACTACATTTAGCATTTTAATGTTTCAAGATTTAGCTGCATGTGGGCATAGCGGTACACACCTGTAATCTCAGCACTCAGAGGAGGCTGAGGCAGGAAGATTCCCATAAGTCTGATGCCAGCCTGAGCTACATAAGTGAGGTCAAGTCATTTCACACCTCATGGTGAGACTGTCTCAAAAACAACAAAACAAAAAAAAATTTAGTTGCAATAATATGTATAGTTTTATGTTCCAAAGTTGCTATGTAATTGTCACAACCAGTTTTCTAAGTAGTTGCTTTATAAATTCATTAAAGTATCTTTATTTAATACAAAGAAAAGGTAAAAAAAATTTTGCAGTGTCTTTGATCCATGTTAGGTTGAATCTGCAAACGTGGGACCCAAGTATGTGCAATACTAACCTTGTCTCTCACTGTGTCTTTTTAAAGGAGTAGATGTTTATTTTGGCTCTTGTCTGTCTGATTTTACTTAATATTCTGTGCCCTGTCAAGGGCTTTTGGGTCCCTGTTTAATAGGCTGGAGACTCAGGAATTCAAAAGCATTCACTGATCACCATATGTTTTTCTGCCTTCAAAAACAGCTGCTTGCTACGGGACACAATGTGCTGTTGCTCAAAGCCATTGTTCTGTGCAAAAATTATGAATACCTTTTGTTGTTTTAAGCTGAAAATGCCAAGAAAACTTCAATTTATGCATGGGAAGTGTGAACCTGATGAACCACTCCTTTGACCACACCCTAGCCAAGGTCCCAGCATCACTGTGGAGGTGCTGTTAACATGGAACAAGTGATCCCCAAGTTTAGTGATTTAAAACATTTAATATCTTGTAGTTACCCTCAGTTACACATCAAGGGATTGTACAGTGCTGAGTGACTCTGGCTCAAGATACTTGATTATTTGAAGGCGAAAATGTCATCAGGACCAGCATACATCTGAAGGCTTTGCTGGAGTGACAAGATCCATTTCTATTCTCATTCACATTAGTTTCTGGCAGCATTAGCTTGCTTAAGCATTGTATATCATATTCCACAGTGTTGCCCCAGGGCAGCAGTCCAAAAGAAATCAGCCATAGTCTTTATAATCTAATCTCAGGAATGGCATCTCATCACTTTATGGATCTATTAGAAACCATTTATAAAGGGTTAAAGATTCATTCTGTATATTGGTTCCTAAGTTAAGAATCATTAACTCCAGCCTTCCAGGGTCAAAATTAATTTTTAGACATCAGTTACTTTAACTGATGACCAAAAGCATAGTTTTAACCATTTAGGGTCTGCTTGCTTTGCTTATACTATGAAAGCAAACATAATATTTACTAGTCACATAATAAAAGTCCTGGCACCATGAAGCTGTGAATGACTACTGTCATTGATCACTCTGATCCAGAAATTTCTGGATGTGTGGCTGAATGACATGTCTTAGACACACAAACCTTTCCCAGTTTTCCCCTGGGAGTTCTCTCCTTCCCCTCTGGGTGGTGGCCTGTGCTACTGACTGAACAGTCTGTAGCTTGAAAAAAACTGCTCCTCAACAAGTCCAAGAACAGACCAAATGAAGCTAGTGTCATCTCAAGTGTTTAACTAACTGCTCTATCTTCACATTTACTATACCAATTCAGTGCAGCCTGCACTTGGGGAGGGGTTACAGAAGGGCATACACTGGTGAAGGTAGGGTTCACTAGGGCTCTTGTAGTGGTTGCCTGCTATGGCTCCCTTCTAATTCTCTTAAGGATGCACATCTTTCTCAGACACTAGACATGACTCTGCATCTTGTGTTTGCATGAAGGAGGTGCTGAGGAGCACAGGGTGAGTCTGCACAAGGGTGTTTGTGTCTCACTTCCCCATAGGCTTGTATCACTGTGGAAATGGTTGCTGTACCACGGGGCTCAGTAATAGGTGGCCTCATCTTCAGTCTGGGCCCCTGTGATGGTGAAGGCAGCCTTGTCTCCAAGCAAGGAGCCTGTGAATTGGGCAGGGGCACCAGGGATCCGGTTGCTGGTACCATATATTAGCCCCTTTGGTATTTCATAGGGTTTTTGTTGGACCCAGACAGCGTAGTTACTGGTTGTGACAGCCCCAGTACTGGAAGCACAGGTGAGTGTGACTGTCCCTCCAGGAGAGATGTACAGGGAAGATTCCTGAGTCACCACAGCCTGAGATTCGGCCCCTGAAAATAAGTGAGGAACCTGATGGTCAGGAGAGGAGACAGAGGCAGCAGAGCTGCCTTCCACAGCTCCAGGCAGAAAATCCTTGCTGACCTGTGATGTGAGCCTTAATGTGAGCAGGAGAGGAGCCCAGGCCATGGTACAGACAGACAGGATTGTGCTTTACAAGTCTGCTTAGCATACAAGCAGCCCTCAGCTCTCATTATAACTCTTACCACCCTGCTGGGTGGTGGGGGCAGGGTTTTCATGCAAATGAGATTGCCCTGCCAGCCAAGGAATTCCACAACTTGTTCAGGTCACACCTACTGAGTTAACCCTCAGTCAGTATGTGTAGTAAAATCTACAGCCTACATAATTTATCAATTGCTCCTTGATGCGCCACAGTGAAGCCCATTACATCCTCTAGCGTCAGCAGTGAAAATACCAGGGATGGAATACATTACTGCAAATTTTTTCCTGTTTATAATCCCTTTTTTTGGTTCTCAAAGTTTTAGTTTTCTCAGTATATAAGTCCATTGCCTGAGATTTTGGGAGGAAGCTGGATGGAGGTGTTTTGGGCAGTTGAGACCTAAATAAGTTACCGCTTTCCTCCAAGTCATCAGATACCTTGAGTAGAGAAGCTGAAACCGTGGATTCTTTTGGTCTCTGAATTTAGGTGTCTTGGAAACTCATTCCACTCCTTGAGAAGTCCATTTTTCCAGGCCTAGTAGAATTTCAGAGTTTATTTTTGTATGGTAATTATGGGGCATTACCGAAATATGTGGTGAATGTTTACAAAATTAATGCTGTAAAAGACACATTTTATCCCCCTCAAAATATTTCTCATTGCCTTAAAACACATTTCTCCCATTACTCTTGCTCTTTCTGAAAATCTTGATGACTTTTTACAAAGTTTAATAAAAATATGCTGATCGCAGCACAAATGCAGGACGTAAAAACATTCAGGTGTGTCCTTAATGTACCTCTGCCAGAGATCTGGCAGTCTGTGATTTCTGATCCAAATGACCACAAAGACGAATGCTTTAATTGATTCAGGACATTGAGGCAGCCATAACAGCACAAGCATAAACATGAAAGAAAGCTTGCAAAACTACTTTAGAAGTTAGCAAAGAGGGTAGATAAATATTCAAAGACAATGAGAGTATTTTGAGTGAGATTAATTTTGGTAATACCATTTAATGTAACAAAAAATGTAAATATTGACTATTTTTTAACTACACGTTGTATTTTTTGTTTCTTCAGAATACTAAGAAGAACTACACTGATTTTCTCTGAAGGTTGGACAAATTGTGTATGTGTGTGTGTGTGTGTGTGACCATATGGCTCTCATGGTAAAACTGCACATCACAACTTCAGAGCATTAATCTTCTCTGGGCCTCTTAAACTTAGCACCTTCTGTGTCCCCTGGTCATGTGGTGGACCAGTATTTTCAATCAAAGATGATGAGCTTCCAGAAGCTGAAGTGGCCAGTTATGTATGTTGCTCCAGGGTGGACATTTTGAGATGTAATGATTTCACTTCTTGTGGAAGGGATGATTTCCTTTCTCTTGTCACATGGTAGAAGACTTCTGGGATCTTCATTGATAGGATAGGCTCCTGAAACTTTAGTGCTAGACTGTTGTCTAGATCATTTGTTGAATTTATCATCTCTTGCCTTAATGGTTTGCCTAATATGATATCTTCAATGGAATGTGAGTAATATTTAGACCTTTTAAGATAGTCAATATAGAAGTTAGTGGCCCTGAAGTAAAACCTTTAAAGTACCTTTAGGTAAATTAGGAATGTAAATTATTTTAGATTTTTGTTGTTTTAAAAAATTTTTCTTTGTTGATATGAACGGGAAGTACAAATCTACTAAGTCAACAGCTTTTTATTTTCAATGCAACTGTACTATGTTGGGCTCCTGTGAAATCAGTCTCTGAGTTAGAACGTTTCATTTGGAATGACCTATGAAGAAAAGTGTTAAGAGGATGTCAAAGAGGGATATATTAACGTGTAGTGCAGTCACAAAGATTTCAGCTGATCATATGTGGATTAATGATGTGATGAGAAGATCTCTCAGACACTTTGCAAATTTAAGTAACTTGTATGTTGTGCTCATGTGATAAGCAAAACCTATGTGTGGGTCGTCCAAAGTAAAGGGTGCAATTTTTGAGCAGTCAAAACTTTTAATCATGGAAAAATTTCCAAGAGAACCTCAGCTAGTATGCATTAGCATGCAACACTCCTGAGATCTGGAAGAGGGAGGGTCATGATGTTGAAGGAGAAAACTAGATGTGACAATTACATATATAATTCCCATGGAATGGAAGAAACCACCAAGAATTTGGCTGAGCGTCCACCTCCCTGAGGTTGATGGTACTTCTGTATTTGTGCAAAGGAGGTAAAGATTGTCCAGAGGCTTCTGCCAGGGTTCAACAAGGCACCAAGGAACTTCCAGGAAGATGGCAAAGTGGTAAGTAGCAGAGAAAACAGCTTCTCTGAGAGTCACTATCCAGATGCTGGAATACAGTATCTTGAGGAAGACAAGAAGGAAATGGGTCCCCTGGGCCCAGGAAGAATCTGAAGTATGAACTGAAGCCCAGAGAGACTGAAAAGGAAAACTTCAAGGGAGCAGCCAGTAAGTAGCACCATCTCCCTGAGACGAGACTCACTGTGTGAGAGGAGCTGTTTAAACCGGGGGACCTATGGTCACAGTGATGGTGACTGCTGGTGACCCCCCCAGGCCTCTGCAGAGAGATGTGGCAGTGGAGCGGAGCAGTGGATGTGGAGGAGGTGAGTGCAGAGGACTGAGTCCACTCACACAGAGAGAACAATTAGCTGGAAACCATTTTGGAGATGGGAGGAATAAGCCCAGAGTCCAGAACTGCTGCCAGCCTTGTCTAGTAGCTCCTAGCTGGGTGAAGATCTGTGGAAATTTCTTGGACTGTGGCAAGCCCAATCAATGAGTCTGGTCTCAGGGCAGGCCTGCTGAGACTATCTACTATTCACCATAAAGAACCTGCTGGCTGACTGGGACAGATCGGCACGATTCTGAGCTCTTGTCTCCACAAGTTGTTGTCTACTTAGTGAAATCAGATAGAAGTCTGAAAGCGGACTGTTTGCTTTTCTTTTTCTCCTTTATTGTTTTTATAAAAATGAGTGTGAAAGTGGTTCCTAACCTCTCTGTGGGTGCGGTTCTGTTCTTTGTTTTATCCCTTCCATTTATCCCTTTTCCTTCAATCTTCTGCATCAGTTTCCCCAAGTTGGCACGATCCCCTTGTGTCCCCCAACCTTATTTCTAATCTCTTTCTCTTCTTTCACTTCTATATTTTCTCCTTAATCAATTTTAAATTTTAACCTTCAAAGGCTTTTTTCCCATTTTATTATGCAATCATAAATCTAGTTCAGATCGTTAAAAGTTGAAAATTAAAGGCTAGCTTAGTTTGTTATTTTCTAGGCTGCGTTTGATACTGTTGTTCCACTATAGCCAAAATGGAAATAATTCTTCTAAACAGCTATTGGCCCTGATGATCCATGACTGAGGTTAACTAAGAGCTACAGAAAATATGGTGACACAGTGTTGAAGAACCAGGAACTGGACCAAACAAGCAACAACTTCTCATCTCCAACAAACTGAAGAGGTAAGACCTTCCAACAGACTCAGAACTCAACAAGGCACTGAAATCAGTCAGCTAATTCATTGATGTTCTTTAGTTTTAGGAGCTGTGTATCTTTTACCATGCTCAAAATGAGCACTGGGCCTGGAGGCCAAAGTCTATAAAGTGAGCCATAATTGGGCAGAGAAAGCAGCAGCACATCTTAGGGGACGTTTTGGCCATTGACAGAGGTAATAATATGTTATCAGGTACAGATTGACAGGAGCATCAGAATCACCAGTGGAGACAGATTGCATATATATAACAAGGGAATGTATTAAAACCCTAGGTAACAAAATATTCTCTTATAATTAAGGACAATTATTTTTAGGAATATATTTGGGAGATATGTTAGCTGGAACTCAAATAATTCAGTTAAATAAGTCTCAAAATATAAAGTATAATTGAAGAAAAGTGGGTAGACATTAGGCAATTTATCCAGATGTCTTTATATAAAAATAAGCATTTTGTTTGATACAGCAGTACACACCTGTAACTCCAGCACTTAGGAACCTGAGGCAGAAGAATCACTTCCAGCCTGGAAAAGAATTAGTATTTCAGAAAAACAAATGATGGCATATATTTTTTAAGGGAAAACTAAGTAACAAAATTTAGATGCATTGAATAGAATATTTTTAATTGTTTTAATATATGTTTGTAGTACATAATGGTTACATTCATTGTGGCGAGGTGGTATAAGTATTCTAAAACATCTTATTTTTATTTTGTATACCCCTTATCTCCCTCCATCTCTTGGTCCCTTCCTTTTTTGCAAATATATATCTCCCCATTTTCAAATGCTTATGTTCTAACTGCTTTTTCTTTATGACTTAGGTTATTCCCATCAGAGAATGTATGTAATAGTTAAGCTTTTGTGCCTTATTTATTTAAATGAAATATATGGTCTCAAGATTCATCTGTTTTCCTACACATGACCCATAATTATCCTTCTTCATGGCACAATAGTACTTTACTGCATATAAATCCCATGTTTTATCTATTTATCTGTTGATGGACATGTATGTCACCTCCAAGTTTTAGCTATCATAAATTGTGTTTCTATCAACATGGGTGTGCATATGTTACTGTAATATGATGTTTTAACACATTTAGGAAGATCCCCAAAAGGGAAATTTATGGGTGGAAGGCAGTTCTATTTTTTTGAGGAATTTCTGTACTGATTTCTATAGTGGTCTAGTATACCACAAAAAATGTAGCAGTAAAAATTAAAATTAAAATACAGAGGATCAAAAATAGTTTGCTGAAGTGTTTGGTTTGCTTGGGGGAAAAGGAAGGTATTAATTAACTTTCAAGTTTAAACCACAATGAGATATCAACATATATCCCCAGAATCACTACAAAGTAAAGGATTATAGGGCTGGGGATTTAGCTCATTGGCATAAGCGCCTGCCTGGCAAGTGCAAGGTCATGAATTTGATCCCTGGTACCAAAAACAAAAACAAAAATTGAAGGTTCTGATAATGTTTGAATTATATAAGTAATGTCTCTAAAAATTTTAAACTCCACCACAAAAGATAATACCGACAGCTGACTTTCTTAGCTTTGCTTCCAAGAAACAATAAAATTCTAAGCTCATAATTGAAGGAATGGTGAATGCATTTCTTAAAGTAGTAATAAATAAAACCAGCAAATGAACAAAAAACTTACTAAGAATAGTTTCCTGAATAGCCAGAACCTGAGCTACTAAAAGGTTTAACCTGAATAGCCAGAACAGAGTGGTTTCATCACTACAAGAGTCAGGTGAGGATTTTTGTATAAGGGTCCTGGGTACTTGATGACCCAGCTGTTTATATGGTACCTGCATAGTTAGGTCTTGGCCTAAGGTGAGCTTGTCAGATTTTGATCAGAAGGACAGTGGCTGTGAAAGAGTGGAGACAAAGGGGGAAGCATCCGTTAGCAAGTGGATCCAAGTATTTCATATTTGGACCACTGGTGCTCCCAGGGACTGACAGTCTGAGAAAGCAACTTTGAAGTCAAATGTCATCCTTTATGTACAAATAAATTGAATTACTGTTACATCTGGAAATCCCAAGGTTAGGACTGTAAAGAAGGCCTTTTATTTTTTATTTGCAGGTTTATGTCCTTTTCTAAGGTACCTTGTAGCCAATATCTGTCAGATATTACAGCAGAGCTTTCATGTCTTTGCAGCAGACAACTTGGGTGTCATTAATCAGAAGCACAGTGACATTTTGTGGTGGGAAACTAGTAAGATCAACTGTGAATGCTTCTCCAAAGAGGATAAGCAAGTTTTGAGTTCTGGATGGTTAAGTCCAAGTCAGTTAACCTTTGAGTTCAGAATTGGGTCTTTATACATTTAAAGGTGAAGAGAGGCTGGTTGACAGGAGTCAAATGAAGGCAGAAGAAGGCACTGTTTAAATCCAGCAAGGGCACTGGCAAGTTGTGTGGGACAGCAGGATGGAAAGCAGCCTTGGTGGGAGATCTTGAATGGGATTTATAGGCAGAAGTTTATTTTAGCAATTTGACAGCCTACAAACATTTTGAGGCTTTGAAGCCTCTGTATGCATGATTCCATTGTTTTTTCAGGTAACCATGACAGCAAGCAAGAATGTACTGAGAAACAGTCTGTCTCAGAGCGACCAAATCTGTTGTCAGAGCCTCATTATAAACAGCAGGAGAGGTCCCAAATCCTTAGGAAAATTGAATCCAAGTGAGCTGGCCTTTTATCCTGTCTCAGGATCTTGTTATGGGAGTCACCTTCAAGCAGAAGGCATCTTCTAGTATAGACATGGAAACCAGATGGCAACTGGAGGTAGCAAACCAAGAAAGGCATATAGGTTAGGAACCACAGAGGACAAGTTGTGGCTGTGTTGTTGATGGCACAGAGCTCTTGCACTGAGTGATAATCCACATTGGACATTGTTACTGGGAGGAGAAAAGAGTTTCAAGGTGATTAGCAGTCTGTCAGGTTTTCAAGTTGCTTCAGGGGGCTGATGTGTGACTGGGTGCCTTTTTGTGATTCCTGTGACATTGGATATAAAAGCATGGTTGATGGCCACGCAAGGAGGCAAGTTTTAGTCCATATCTCTGGGAGGAGAGTTTTCAGAATTTCAGATTTCAGTCATCTGTCTCAGACTATTGCAGGGCCCAACAAGAGAGTGGCAGACTGGCTTGGTGCCTTTAATTTAGAGAGGAGATTTCTTCCCAGAAGCAGTATGGAGCATTCAGGCATGTATAGGAAATCATATTTGGTGAAATGTGCTCCCAGGTTGCAAGTTTGTGCCTGGTAAAGGGGTGAGGGGAAAGAGCCCTACTTATCCAGATGATGCTGATGCTATGGGCACCATTTGAAGAAGGGAGTCAGGTATGGCCTAGTCTGAACTTGTCAAATCAATGAAAGTTTTGTCGTTTGATCCAAGTTGATTATCTTTTAGTCTGAGTGAGCATTTATTTTTTAGTGTCCTCAGCCCTTATAATTTGCATATTGGTCTTTCCCAGAGAGGATGTTCATCTATCAGACTGAATTTTCTTGCAGATAGAGGTGCTTTTTGTGCAATTAAGGCCACATTTATTATATGTGAATTTTCAGGGGCCTTTGGGTCAAAGTGGTGTGAGCCCTGTAGACTTGATCGAATCTCTTATAAACTTTCAAAGGGCTTTTGTGTAACAGTCATAACTTTTGACAAATGGTTGAGCTCTCCCCTACTTTGATGCCATGAGAAATGCTTCACTGGGTTGCTTTGATTTTTTTTTTTTTCCTGACTGGAAAGCTGGCCTGGCAGGAGCTATAGTGAAATCTTCCAAGATTGAGTTTTTAGAATCTGTGCAGGGTCAGAGAGCAGCAGTTTAATTTTATTTTAACTCTATAATCACTGGAAAAGCTCTTTTTAAAATGCTTATGTCTGCAGTCAAGAACTGTGAATTTTGACTAATTAGTTCCCATTCCTGACATCCTATGTATGTGAGGTGTACCATTAAATAATGGTGCAACTAAGGGTAGGTGTCCCTCATAGAGAGACACCATTCAGATGCTCACCTGGATGCTTGCCTCTCAGCAATGCTGGAACCATATGGGCTACGGAGAAGCATTGATAAGTTCTCCATTTTGTCCTTACTAGCTGTGTCCATGGAACCACAGTTTGGGTTCAATTAAGCTCCGCAGTTTGAAGATGGAAGTCCAACTTCTCACTGTGGGGCACAAAGAGAATGGCCTACTACTTTTGCTGTTCATTACGAGCACAAAATCATTCAGCAGGCATTCAGGAATAAAACATGCCAATCACCTTCCCTCAAGCGTGGTCTTGAATAGTGAGAGTTGATGAGGGTCTCCTGCTTGAGCTGAGCAGCAATGATACATAAACTAACTGGGGTGCCCGTGGACATCTTACCAGAATGACAGGCATGCAAGCATCCTCCTCCCTTTTGTGTCTGATGTGAGCTGCTTGAACAGGAAGCCCAAAATTCTTCTCTTCACATCCAGGGGACATGAGAAATCTTGAGTATACACCTTCCTGTCAGGCTGGAGAGGCCCTTACTCAGTCTGAGAGGTCAGAACTGGTCACCAAAGAGATCAGCATGGTTGATCTTTCCAGCCAAGCACCAAATACTATGGCAAACAGGAACACTGAAATGATGCCTAGGATTTGGAGTCAGATTTATTTATGTTGATGGACACTGACCTCAAGAAAAAATGTCAGGCACTGACTGAAGGCTCAGAGAAGGAGGTGTCTCATGGAGTTTTCAAGCAACAAATAGAGTACTTGGCTCTCTTTGATTGGTTCTTACAATATACATCATAGACCATCTGTGCATCACAGTGACCAGCTCTTTCTAAGAAACAGAAGTAGCAGGAACTGTATAACAGGTACTGTTAGGTAGGCAACTAGCAGAAACTGAAGTATACATGTGTGTGTGTGTGGGGGGGGGGTATGCTCTGCTATGTCCCTACTCTGATATCTTTTTAAAGCAGTAGGTGTTTATGTTGGGTTCATGTCTTTATTCACATCAAGGGCTCAAGGGTCAGTCATAGTTTGGGGACCAAGGAGCTCAGAATCATTCATAGGTCTTCTCACTGTTTTTTGTCTTTTTAATTGTTGCATGCCACATACTCTACAAGATGAGTTTTAGCTCAAAACTATATGTCAGCGGACTTCCGGGAGAACATGGTGGACAGATAACAGCAACTACCGGAGGCTCTCTGAAAGAATCGGCTCAGAAGCCAGGAATGGTGCGGACTAAGGAGACATAAGCAGGTGGAGATATGCTCTGCTGACTCAAGAACGAACTGGGCTGAGAGAAACCAACTTGGAATGCAGTCCTGGCGCTAAAACAGGAACAGAAAAGCCTCAGTGTGGAGGCTGGACCCTGTGCCATTGTAAGCCGCGATTTGGGTTTCCCGCCACGCGGCGGCTGGCTGCCTCTACCTCGGCTCGGCAAGAAGAGACGCGCAGAAGCTCTGAGAACGGCAATCTGCGAACGGCAGGGAGGTGTGCACTGACTTGTGGTGAGGTGAGTGAGAGAAACTGACACTCTACCACAGTTCGACTCCAGCAGAGGACTTTCTGGGCCTGAGCAGTCCTGCGGGAGCAGGGCGCGGTGGCGACTCCAGCCACACATCCCCCTCTTGGGCGGGATTGGTGAAAAGTGCCTGGCCTGCGTGACGCTGCCGGCGGACCTGGTGGGCTGTCCTAACCCAGATCCCAGAGCCTGACGGTGGCCGGGAGGGGAGATGTGTAGGCTGCCTGGTCCGTAACTCCCTGGTGCGCAGTGGTGAGCGCGAACACCTAACTGGCGCAATTCAATCAGGCTGTGGCTGACTGGGAGAGAAGCTGGGCCTCTTATATAAGCTTGCATATATAAGGAACAGAGAAGAAGAGGCAGCATGGGAAGAGGCAGCAACAAGAAAGGCTCCTCGGCCCCCAATTCTGAGAATCAGGCAATAGCAGACACCGCACCAATACACATAAGGCACCATATAGAGAGCCTCATAGACCAATTCAGGAATGAAGTTATCAATGACCTGAAGCTAGAAGTATGCAGAATAGTTAGAGAAATGCTAAGTACCACCCAAGAAAAAACAGGTGGTGGAATGGAAGAACAGAAAAAAAGGGGAGAATTGTTTGATGGAGAAAACAGAGAAAGCATAGAATACGTGAAGCAGGTTCAAAGGGACTACCAAGATACTAAGAAGTCTATCGAAGACTGGCATAACAGCTTGAAAGAAACTAAGGACTGACTATCTGAACTGGAGGGCAGACTTGTAATATGGGAGAATGAAATGAAAAACTTCTTAAAAATAACAAAGAAACAAACAGCAATAATACAAAGACAAGAAGATGATAAGAGGATCCATAACTTAAGGATTAAGAACATAAAAGAAGAAGTAGGGACACAAACAAGTGAACTACAAAAGCTACTCACAGAAATAATCCAGGAGAATTTTCCTAATTTAGCAAAAGGTAAAGATACTCAGATGTATGAGGCATACAAGACCCCAGCTACCTACAACCCAAACAGAGCAACACCCAGGCATATAATAATAAAAATTTCAGAAATTCAATACAAGAACAGAATATTAAAAGCTGTCAGAGACAAGAAACAGACCACTTACAAGGGAACACCCATCAGAATTACAGCAGATTTCTCTGCACAAACCATCAAATCACGAAGAGCGTGGGGGGAAATAATTCAAGCTTTGAAAGATAATAATCTCCAGCCAAGATTGAGATATCCTGCACAACTGTCCCTGGAAATTGATGGAAAAACAAGGTGCTTCCAGGATAAAGAGGAACTGGGGGAATTTGCAACCACCAATTCAACTCTACAGAGAGTATTGCAGGATATTCTAAAAAAAGAAAAATACAAAGAATCCAGAAATAATGGCAGAGAGGCCACAACGAATGGAGCAGAGAACAAAATGAAGAAGACAAACTGACAGCTACTGACAGAAAAAGAGCTCAACAGAAATGAGGCAGAGAAGATTGGATGATAGGAACAGCTATTTTGGAGAAAATGACATCTTAATAGGTAAGACTGATTTAGTATCATCTTGTTTTGAAGTCTCATCTAGCTTTTGTCCTTCTGTCTCCAATGGTCTAAATAGGCTGTATCTTACTGGATTTTATTATGTACGATAGTATAAGCAAAAACCTTTTAAAGACAAGGAGATTATACAGAAACCATTGTTCATTTTCTGTTAGTTGATTCTAAATATTCTGTAATGCTGTCATTCTCTTGAATGGTTTTACATTGTTTTGATATACTTAATGCTACAGTATACAAAGTTGTACTCAAGGATTTCAAAGAAAGAGACAATATGGTAACTACTTTTAGGTTAGGATTATCTGGTGGTGAAACACTATTCTGCTTAAATGGTTATGTTTTGATCTGCGCTGTTTCATTGTTATGCCCTCTTTTATCTCAATCTCCACTCCATTATTTACTTTTTTATCTTTATCCTTTTAATTAAAGGAAAAAAATAGCAGGATATATTATAGTAACCCACTTTGACTTTTCATTACCTTGATTTAAAGCCCTGTATTACTCTCACCATCTGGTTTTTAACTGATGTTCCCCTATTCTGTTTTGCTGGATAGTATCAGGTTCAAAAGTTTAGGCATCAGCTGTGAAGATAATGAGATTCATTATGACGCCCATTCTTGTTGACTTTTATCTACTTTTGAAGACCTACAATGTCTCCAATGTTTTGGTTTTGTCAGTTTTATTCTTTACTGTTTTGTTCAATTGTATTATAACTAACGATATAGGCAATTCTATTAGAGATAGCGGGAGGCATTATGGTAACCATTGTTGATCACCTTGTATTATGTTTTTACATTATCTATTATGTCCACCCTTTTGACTTGACCGATTCTGTTCTGTTATGTCACATTTGGTTTTACTCTCTTCCAAAAAAGTAATAAGAACCGTGGGAGCAATGAAACCCAAAATGTGTAATAGTCATGGTACAAAAGAGAGGAAAAGAAAGTGCTCCAAACTATATAACTGCATGTATATTTAAGTGTATAAGATAGAAAATGATATCACAGAGTTTTATTGGATCAATGAACAGAACTGTTTGCAGTATCATTGATGGAATGTCCACTTTACAAGCTTTAATTTTGTGACTTGAACAATTATTTCTAAGATGACAATATGTAATCCATTAACTAGTGATTTCCTACTGTTCATTTTTTTTCTGTAAATCTGTATAACTTATACCCTTTCCCTGCTTTTTTTTTCTTTTCTCCTTAAATAAAATTAAAAAAAAAACTATATGTCAGCATATAAAGTATGATGTCTTGTGTTCTCTTAAGCGAAAAAAGCCAGGAAAACTTCACATTATGCATGGTAAATATGAACATGATCTTAACGTACTCCTTTAATAGACTCCATGCAAGACCCCAGCGTATTCTAGTAGAGGTGCTCCATAGGCATGGGAAGTGTCTCAGTCTCAGACTCCAAGATGAAAATAACTTTGCAGATCTCAATCAGTCTTTAGCTTATTAATCTGGAACAAATGATTTCCAAATTTAGTGAGTTGAACACTTATATCTCATAGTTTCTCTGAACTGGAAATTAAGGAATTACATGGTGCTGGATGGTTCAGGCTCAAGATACTTGATTCAGTTGGTGGGAATTTGCTACCAGGGCCTCCATATATTTGAAGGTTTGGCTGGAATGGTAGCATCCACTTCTGATCTCAGTCACATTGGGTTTTGGCACCTTTATGTTGCTGCTTCACTGTGTGTCATTTTCCAGGACAGGCAATCCAATAAAAAGCAACAAAGACAAGTGATAATCTTTATGATCTGATCTCAGTAGTAGTATTCGAACAGTTAACTATTCTATTTCTAGAAGTCAGTTATATATAAGGGTTAAAAATTACTCCTATTAGAAATATAGAATAACAAAGGCAATTTGGGGCAACAAAGGCAGGGCAAGAGGCTCTCAATTCCTGACTTGAAATTATAGTACAAAGCTACAGTGATAAAATCAGCATGATACTGGCAAAGAAATAGACCTGCGGATCAATGTAACAGATTAAAAGATACAAACACTACTACAAAGACACTCAGCCACCTTATATTTGACAAAGGTGCTAAACACGTTCACTGGAAAAAAGCCTCTTTAATAAATGGTGTTGGAAAAATTGGCTCTCCACATGCTGAAGACTGAAAATAGACCCATGCCTATCACCAGACACTAAACTAAAGTAAAAATGGATAAAGGATCTAAATATTAAAACAGAAGCACTAAATCTACTGGAGGACAAGGTAGGTAGAAGTCTTGGTGACATAGGAGTAGAAAAGAATTCATGAAACAACGCAAACTGCCTGGGAGGTACTTCAAAGAATCAACAACTTGAATTTCATCTTATTAAAAAGTTTTTGCACTTCAAAAGAAACCACTAACAAAGCGAAAAGAAAACTCACAGAATGGGGAAGAATTTTAGCCAGCAGTCCCTCAGATAAGACTTATATAAAGAACATATAAAGAACTGAAAAACACCAAGCCACCCAAATTCAAAGACCCACTCCAAAAATAGGCATCTGAGATGAACACATATTTCTCAGATGAAGATATGCAAGTTTCAGATAAATGCATGAAGACATACTCAATATCACTGGTCACTTGAGAAATGCAAATTACAACAGCATTGAGATTTCACCTCACTCAGGAAAGAATGGCTGCCATCAACACATCAGCTAATGGGGGCCAGGGATTTAGCTCAGCAGCATAAATGCCTGCCTGGAAAGTGCAAGGTCATGAGTTTGATCCCCACTACAAAAAAAAAAAAAAAGGAAAAGGAAATTAACTGATAACAAATGTTGGTGAGGCTGTGGGGAAAAAGGAACATTTGTCCACTGTTGGTGGGAGTGTAGACTGGTGAAGCCACTGTGGGAATGAATCATTATGGAGCTTTCTCAAAAACTAGCATTGGAAGTTCAGTTCACTCCAGCTGTTCCCCTCTTGGAGATTTTCCCAGAAAAACTGAAAAAGTCATATCACAGCAATATATGTGCACTCATGTTTTTTGTTTTTTGTTTTTTTAAATCAGTACTGGGGATCGAACTCATGACCATGTGCTTGCAAGGCAGGAGCTTATGCCACTGAGCTAAATCCCCAGCCCCTGTGCACCCATGTTTATAGCAGCACAATTTATAATAGCTAAATCTTGTAAACAATCAAAATGCCCATTAACTGCAGAATGGACGAAAAAGATGTGATATTTTTATACAATAGAATATTACTCAGCTAGAAAAAGGATGATCTTGAGGATTTTATAGGTAAATGGAGGTAACTTGAGACCATACCCATAAGTGAGACAAGTCAGACTCATATTTCTAAATATTGTATCATCTTCTAGTATAAAAATAATAAAACTGAAAGAATAATAAGATCCAAAATGTAGAATAGATATTGTAATCATGAAAGGGAAAAAAGTGCTCTAAAGGGTGTAATAGTGTAAGTGTGCAAGACAGACATACTACTGTTTTTGTTTATCAAACAAAATGGCTTGTACTGTCATTATTTGATTGTCCAGTTTTATGCTTTGATTTTGTAACTTGAACAATTTCTTCTAAAATAAAAACATGTAATTTATCAACTAGTGGTTTTTTACTGCTTTTTTGAAATTCTGCATTATTATTACCCTTTTTACTGTTTTGCTTTTTTTCTCTAAATATAAAAAATACTTTGTATATTGGCTCCCATGTTGTTTCCTTCCTCACAGCAAGTTGGCACCATAAACTCAAACCTGCCAGAGTCAGAATCAAAGTTGTTTTTCTGTTTGTCTTTCTGAGATCAAGTGTCAACATGTGGTTTTGGCTGGATATGAACTCACCGTGTAGCCCAGGCTGGCCTTAAACATCCTGTGATCCTCTTGCGTCAGCCTCCAGAGTGCTAAGATTATAAGTGTGTTCCACCATGGTGGGCAAAATAGTTTTGCGCATCCAATCACTTTGGAGATTAAAAGCATGGTTTTATCTTCCAGCTTTGCATACACCATGAAACGGTGCTTAATATTTTTATTAGTTATACATAAGAAAAATCAGGATGTATGGCACTCTAAACATTGATCACTGTCCATAGCTCTCTGACTCTCAGGTTCCTGGCTTCATTGATGAGTGACCATGTTGTAGACACTTTAAGCCCTTCTGTAGTTTTTCCTTGAGAGTTCTCTCCCCTGCTTTTGTGTGGTGGCCTGTGCTACTGACTCTGAAAAGTCTCTAATTTGAAGAAAGTTTGCTTCACAACTGGTCAAGTGACAGACAAAATGGAGCTACTGTCATCTCCTAAGTGATGTCTTTTCCTTAACTAATTTGTGAACCCCAAAAATCTCTACACTTGTC